GAAATTTTGTCAAAACTTAAGTGCCTATTTTTTTACATAATTGGAATGAGAATCATGTACCGAGTATTCTCCTTAAATATTGATAGTAATTCACCAGTCACCCTGTATATACTTATGTATATATGGCTTCCTAAATGATTTAAGATGATATTCGTTAATTATTATTAGTTATTTACAAATATAGGACCCGAAGAAGATCACTAAACGCGATTTTAATTTTTCTTGAAAGGACAGCTCAACAAGCTTTAAAAGCTTATAAAAGTTATAAATTTAATTAAAAATTCTAGGAATTTCAGTTAAATATTCGCAAAAAAAAAGTCGAGAATAGTTTTAGAAGAAACAACAGGGAGTTTGGTGGAAAATAGTTACATAAGAGGCAGGTTTATCTTTTGTGGCAGTCGTGGAGCAAAATATTAATGAATAAATATAAAACATAACTTATATTATTAGAGCGAAAGCCGAAAAATAATTTTATCTGACCCTTATAACACTATTTACAAATAAAATTTCTTATTAAATTAAAGTGTATTACAGCATTGAACTATTACAGAGTCTTCTTTAGAAAAAAAGTAACTTATGGCTAAAGTCAAAAGGGCATAGAATAAGGAATCAAAGATTTTCATTAAAAATATTATTTTAAGGACAATCGAAGTAATACATTCGATTTGATCTATAAAATATACGTTTATTTTAAAAAATTTAAATGAATATAATTTACGTATGCAATAAGAAAAATATATCATAAGAATCGTCTTTTGTTCGTGACATCGTCTACCTGTATGGATATAATTATAATTGGGTTTTTGAATTATTTTTTTTTTGTGATAAATGGAAAGATCATATATAAGTTTAATAACAAAACTATTTTTATTTTATTTTTTTTTTGCAATATTTAAAAAGTTATTTCAAAATAAAAATTAAATTTTAAATTCAGTACCGAAGACAAGCCGACAGCTCGTGAATAAACCCGAGCGCGTGTGACGTCACAATGTTACTTTTTGCTCATTGTAGCATACAGAGATATAATAATTAGTACAGTGTTTTGAGTTTTTATCTAGTAAATTCTGTTGGCATTGTTAAATAATCAAAAGTTTTGTACCATTATGTACAAAGACTACAAAAACAACTCCTGAAAAAATGTTTTTAAATGTTCCACAAGACGAAAAACGTCGAAAGAAATGGTTTCAAGCAGTGCATCGAGATTATTCAAAAACAAAATCATTTTTTTTTTGTTGTGAAGATCATTTCGTTGTAAGTTTTCATAATAGTATTGTTATTAATTATTATTTATCTAAGTGTATAAATCGAATAAGTATAGTTCAATAATTAATTTTTTTACCTGGGCTCCAAATCATAACCTTTAGAATCGTAGCATTAAAAAATTTTAATTGATAATTCAAAGCGATTAAATAGTAAATCTATATATATGTTTGTCTAATAATTGGACTTCAATTAATAGATATTTTCATAATTTTATAACATTCTAGGTTCTGTATCAGACTACATTTAAATTTTTAAAGTACATATATGTTATTTTGGTTTTTTTATAATGTTATAATAACATTTTATTAATAATGATTTAATGAAATAATTATTAATTATATTTAATAGAGAATAAATACTAATTTTCATTTAGAATAGTATTTTTTGACAGACTTACCTTGATGTCTTAGCACCTCGAACTTCAGCAAAATTAAACCGCACTTTTTAAAAAATTAGTTATCATAAAAATATATTAACATCAGGAATATTATCCGATTTTGCTTTTATAAATCCTTTATCACACATAGTCGAAATAAACTTTTCAAATCGTTTTTCACTAATAAATTTGAGATATTTTTATCAAGTTAAAGATAATAGCCATAAACACTGTACTATTATGAAATTGCTTTAACATTATGACGTCACAAGTATGCTGACCAATCATGGCGCGTTTACAGTCACGTGATATATTTTTGAATTTTATCAATTTTTAATTGTTTATAATTAATTTAAAAAATATATTTCAAGTTTTTTGCATTAAAAATCCAATATAATTAATAATAAAGTTTTAAAATACATAAAAAAAATCAATACTTTTTTTTTTTTCAAAAACCCAATTGGTATACATGAATGTTCATGTCAACTAAAATATAATTGTTTACTTGTGCTCTGAAAATATGAGACATGAGTGTATATTTTACTCATACTGTATTATATTTTACTACCTTAATGGACGACATTTACTCAATATTTTTATAAATAACTAGTTAACCCGGTGAACTTCGTGCCACCCTATAATCAAGAAATGTCTGTTACACACACCACAAATTATCCTGTAGAAACCAATGTGAAAAGTACACTAAGAAATGTTAAATGAATTATATTGGTATTTTGTTATTATAACTCCGGCCACAGACCAACTCCGACCGATATATTAGCAAAGAGCATGTAAATATGTTTTAATTTTTTCTTTATTTTAATGGCAACTACGTGAATATTACTGCCGGTGACACATTTTTAATACAAAAGTGAAATATTTTAGTAATTTTTTTCTAGTTATTTTCCTATTTTTTTTCTTACATGAGAACCTTCTCCTAATAATAACAAATAAAATAAAAAGAAAATTAATGAAATCGGTCCAGTCATTCAAGCGTAATGCCGTGGTCAAGGGAAAAATAGATTCAATTTTCTATACCTATGTATAAAGATTACTGTTACATTATTTGTTCTCCTGTGTAATCTTAATCTTCGAAGCTTTACATGCTGTAATTGAATTAGTTTTTAAATATTTACATATGATGAACATGGTATAAAAATAGTATTTAATAAATGATTGACTCAAGTTTAACTTTCTTAATTAGGATATCAAGGATTGAAGTGACACTGTCCTCATACTCGCCGACGATATCGATACTTACCGATACATAACCTATAAAAAGACTTATGACTGAACAAACGACATACTGACAATAATAAGAAACTCGAATACATCTCATACTAAGGATTTTAAATAATTACCAGTTCATAAACAAATAAAATCAGCATTTTTTTAAATCAAATCATGCATGGCTCATCGCTTTCTAAGATTTTATCCACGCCAGGTGGCGAGGGCATGTTATATGTAATTATAAACGAACTAATATTGAAGCGCAGTTTGTTCCAAAAGGCTATTAGATTTTAGTACGCAACAGTACCATTTAAATATTAAATAACAATCACCTACCACTAAAGACCATATAAGAGGAATGTGTTTCTGTTGAGAACAGCCAGCATCAAAAGAAAACTCAGGTGCCTATTTATGTTAGTTATTGTTATTTAAGAGACGTTTTATTTAATGTGTTGTAAGTATCAGTAAGTTTAATTAACGCTTAATAATTCCATCAAACAGAACAAACGTTATTGTAAAATACGATTAATTATTTTATTTCAAGTCAGCGTTGTTTTAATATTAATTCTTTATGGACGCATAAGTGCTATATGTTGATTTTGTTTTATGAATTGTTGTATTCTTTTTCATAACCGATTGAATAATATAATTTTTGATATGATGTAGGTATTCTTAGTCTCAGATAAGGTGACTGAAATCCTTTCCAGTTCACATGGAGGTATGACAAATGGAAACGGCCAGCCAGGTCGCTCATGAGTCTTTGACAAATAAAGAATTATTCCATATGATCATTTTATTTTATCATCAAACATATTTCTGATTCAAAAAGGTTTTTCTAAAACTTTTATGTAACGCATTTTCTACGTGTAGTGTGCCAAGTTAAAATATTCATTTTAACCCAAGTATTCACTTGGGTAGTTAATGGATTTATTCAAGAATTAAAAACCATTGATCGAATTTACCTAAAATATTTGACTTAGGTATATGAAAACATGAATAGATCTGACTGATGTCCACGCTCGGAAATCCTTTTCTATATGGCCATCGGAGTTCGCTTACAAGGAAACAGAATGTGTTAAACATAAATCCATCACAGTTGGATGGTCCTCACTCCACTGCCAGAATTTTTCCATGATAAGAGTTTATTTTTGTTAAATAATAAATATCATTAAGTAAGTGGTGGCCTAGTGGATAAAAAGGCAAACCTCTCATGCACGAGAGGTTCGATCCTGGCCCGGGCAAGCAATGTGATTTTTCCGAGTCATATGTACTTAATGCGGATTCCCAAAAAGAGGGTTGATGTCCGGCAGGCGGCCGGTCGTAAAAACAAATAGCCAAAACTATTCACAACATGTAAGGCAGACCCTGGCTATAGCTGGGAAATTGCCAGGTAGAAGAAGAATAAATATCATCTTTACAAAACAGTCTTATCGGATTGGCTAATTATCGGCTCACAATTCCTTTAATTACCAAAGATATAAATAATACGTATAAAGAAAAAGTAATTAAATTGTTCGAATTTACTTTTTAAATTTCAAAGTTTTTCAAAATAACTTGAACTCCATATACTATTCAATTATAATTTATATTATCTTAATTTTAAATATTTCTATGATATCCTTTATTTGGTAATAGTGATTTAGGAGAAGTCTAAAATTACATCATTTCATACATATACCTACATATAAGTAGCTCATCAATTTAATTAACTTGTAATTTGACCTACTTTATATAAAAGGTGCTACCTTATAAACTAAATGACGTTTAAATTTTACATTTCATTTAATTTTTTTATAAAAAAATATCTGATATGATATCAAAAAAAAGGAAAATTTACAGAATTCAGTGTGAAGTCCGAACATTAATGCCAATACGATTGAAGAGAATTTAAAAAAGAACTAGAAAAAATGTTATCTGAATATAATAATCAATTATTACAAAGATGATGAAGACAACATCAACCACTCTCGTTTAGTTTTATAATTAATGGAAGAAATGTGATCATAGAAAAAGGATCGAGATGGGAACAATAAGGATACATTATACAAGGTTATTTGTCATTTTATTTAATCAGATAACATATGAAGTATTTACAATAATAATGGAAACTGCTGTCAGGAATGTATCTGAACTAAGTGTTTTTTAAATTTACATACTGTTTAATGAACTCTTCGCAAACTTCCACTTGTCGTTTTCTATATTTAATGTTTCTTCTAGCGAGTGCCATCACAGGAGCTGACCGATCACCTTCGATGAGGTCAGTAAATGTAGTAGGATCGTCGAAGGTCACCTGTGCGGTCTTGGGGTCCATCAAGACGAAAGGGAATATTGTTAGTGCTTCCACGAGAGCGAACAGACGAGCTTCCTCGCAAAGGCTTAAGAAAGCTTCTAGATTATAATTGTATTTTTCCAGCCTCTTCCTCGTGGGTTCATCTAAATTGTGTGTGAAAACGCTAAAGTAATGATTGAATACTTCTTTCTCATATAAGTCCCGAAAATTTGTAGAAGTTGTTAGGTACAAGAAGATCATGAGGTCGAAGGCCGGAGGTCCATATCTTACACACTGATAGTCGACGAGGATGGCTCGAGTGGGAACTTCTTCCTTGTATTTAAACATAATGTTATTCGTCCACAAATCTCTATGAAGAAGCACATTTAACGTATCTGGTCTCTCTCTTAAAGTCTCGCTACCTTTGACGAAGACGTCATAAACAATTTCTTCTAAATTATTTGGATAGACATCGCTCACTTTCAAAAATTCCTTAATGAATGTTGAAGTTAATTTAGCGGCCGCATATAAGACGGGACACCTTTTGAACACCGATTCTGTTGCCACAAGTTGGTAATCATCTAATATATTATAGTCAAGAAGTTCAGTACTTTTCTTAGTGACATAATTGGCATAAGCTGCGTGGAATCGAGCAATAGCTGATGCGGTAACTAACACATGATTCCTGTCGAAGTACTCCAGAACTGGAAGAGACTTGTATCCATCCACAGATAAGTCTAGCATCGCGAGAACTCGGTCATTGTGAATTAAAGATTTTGGAGACCAGCTGTCGTTGCCTTAAAGGAGAAAAACAGATTTATTTTTGACCTACAATGAGATTATATTGATGAATGTTGAGAGGAATTATAAGAAAGTATAAAGAAAGGAAATTATATATCTTTGAAGGAAAATAGACCGTGATAAAATTATTATTATCATCGTCCCAAAACTAGGGACAGTCAAATAAAAAATTTTGCTCAAAAAGTCAAAAATAGCAGCTCAGTGAGTTTAAAAGGACAATTTTGTTAATCTTCTATATATGTATATAAAAATGGATTGCTGTTCCTTAGTCTCGCTAAAACTCGAGAACGGCTGAACCGATTTGGCTAATTTTAGTCTTGAAATACTCCTGGAAGTCCAGGGAAGGTTTAAAAGGTGAGAAAAATTGATTCATTACTGGGAAAACCATAAAAACAGCCCTTTTCTATTTCCCATACAAAAGTTTTTTTTGATATTAGATTTGACAACTAACTAATATGTCAATTCTGTTTGATTGAAACAGGAAAAACCTGATTATTTATGGCCTGTAAGACGGAATAGAGTTCGACTGGTCAGCTATACGGTCTACATATATTACTCTTGACCAAACTAACGCGGACGAAGTCGCGGGCAAAAACTAGTGTTAAAATAAATATTAATTAAACTGTCAGTCATCTCAACTGACGTTGATTTGACGGTAAATATTTAAGTTTAAACAAACTGATTGAGGTTCAATGATTACATACCGTCTGTTTCATCCATTTCATCGATTATTTTATATATTAAAGCTTCCTTTTCATAAAAACAATTTTCTGTAATGAAATCTGCTTTCGGCTTGTTATACATCGGTACGGTCTTAATGAACAACTGAATCTTCTCGAGTGTTTCATTTCGTTTCACTCTTAGAGTAACCTTCAAGTGGTCTCCGAGGAAACCTATCAATCCTTGAGCAGCCGGTTGTATGTCGTAGTGCACTAGTTCGCAACCTGGCTTTGATTGCTGTAGAATATGATCAAGTTCACTTCCAGCGAGGATGTCTTCCAAACTCCTACGCGCCATTTCGATAAAACCTCGAGTACATTTGAAAGGACGCGACCTGCTAGTGGCATTTATACTGACGACGAAAATGTAACATTTGTTTGACTAGCTCTGTTTATTGTATTTTCTATTCTTTGTTCTAACTAAATGCAGGAACTATATTCAAAAATATCTAACTTTACATTATGTGATCGAAAATGACTCTTATGTAATGAGAATAGGATCTATTTTTTAACGTGAGAGCCGTATCAATTTGACTCCTTTGATATTGTCAATATTAAACGAGTATTATGAACAGTGTTTATTTAAATTGTTCATCTCAATTGTTCTCGTTGCAATATTATCTTCATTATTTACGACAAGCGTCCGACACGCCGACAGCAACGACCTTCGATAAGCGTGGTTTTAATTCGTCAAACACAATATAAATAACTCTAAAATAAAACTAATGTTCTGTCATAAGTTTATTTTATTACTAAATATTATAAAAACATCGTTCGACGACAATAACATAGCGATGAATCCAAACACAAAGCTTAGTATGGAAGCCCCGAGGAAGACGGCGTGTGGCGCGACCCTTACACTATACATAACATTATAAAATACTCTATAACATACAATAAATCAGTTTCTTTGTAGATTCTTTGTACCGTCAACAGTAGAAGGCACGTCATTACTGGCAAGAGCTCGTTGTATATAATATCTAAGTTCTGTTTCAGTCTCCTGTTCTCTGGAAGACTGCACGATACTTATTTAACACTATATTAGTCTGTAGTAAATGCCTCATCGTGTCATGTTTCGTTGTTCTCTAACACTAGTTGTATCCGTCGGTGTCGTCTGTGAACAGTTCAACATCGACCCGACTATATAATGATACATTAAAATATATATTTTTTTATTTGTCCTTAACTTAGTTTCTCTTACAACTAATATAATACTAGATACATTCTGAGCATAGTCTGGTCTAATAAAATGTGTTGTTGTATATAACAAGCTTATTATAAGATGTACTAAACTACTAAAAATGTTTCATTTTTTTTATAATAAAGCTGCATGACGTCACATCCTGTGACGTGATTTATTACATTAATAATAAATATATTTCTAAACATATCAATATAATTTTCACTAATTATGTGTTTCTCGTGAGAAAAGTAGTCTTATATTATTACTTAATATCGTACAAAACTATTTGTTTACCAAGTTCATCTTGTTTCGTTGGCCGAACTTTCCTTGACCAAATCTTGTAATATTATTGGAATGATTATTATCATTTCGAATGTTTTTATTATTAACATGGAATGATTTTTATATTAATAATTTTCATCTTTAATATTTTACTCATAGAAAAAAAATTGGTAAAACCTAGAAAGATTTTTAACATTCAGTTGTCCTATTTCCTGAAATCACAAATAACTCTGTTCGTCGTCAAGTTAACAACTCGATCTTATCAATGTCTTATTTAAATCCCGTGATGTTGGAACAGACTTTACAATATGACGACGATACACAATGAATGCGAAAATAAAAATCAACAGTGACCTGAGACAGCAGCCCCTGGCTCGCTATATTAAAACATTAAGAAGGGAATGTATATCGAGTTAGATATTTGAAACGCATAGCTTATGACGTAGGATTCAAATGTAGTTCCCATTATATGTGTAACACTGTGTGTGTGTTGGTTCTGTCATGGTTGTGATCACTCATCGTGCATGTATGAGGAGTGAGGTGCGTGTGTGTGTATCGTGTTCCTATCACTCGTATCATTGTTCGTGGTCTCTGAGCAGCCTGGCGAGTGCAGCCAGAAGCGCGGGCAGCGGGCGGGGCGGGTGCGGGGGGAGGTAGTGGTGCGGCGCGGAGGGGGGAGGGGGCGCGCGCCACGCCACCACGTGCTCGCGGCCCGTGGTCTGCGACACCTCCACCGTGAACAGCAGCCGTCGCTCCCAGGCGCGACGGAGAGCAGCCAGCACCTGCCGACCGAGCGCGGTGTCCGGTAACAGTGAGTGTCGCGGGAACCCGACCGCGTAGTACGGGGACCCGGGGGACGGGTGAGACGGACCCTGCACGCCTGACTGGAAACTGACACGGGATACGAGCATTATACGATCTGTATAGATATGAGGAGAACGACATGCATAATAGGCCAGTGCAGAAGCCTTTAAAATTAATGAAAAACATAATTAAATTACAGTAGAATGCAACTCATTACAAAAGGAGGGGAATATTATAAAAATTGAAGGAAAAATAATTTACGGGCGATCTGAGGTCGGGAAGGATATGGGGATGGGTATTTAAGGGTAAAAAATGGGTTTTCTCGATTTACGGCAAAACTAAAGGTCCTACGGAAAAAAGTTATATGGCAAAGTTGTAGGTAATAAAAAGATCTAAAACTTTTGTATTAACATTTTTTTCACATAACCTGAAATTTTATATGAAAATATCGAAAAACCAAGTTTTTGGTTTTTTATTTAGTTTAAAATAAATTGAAAGAGCATTTTCCAGTCGATAACGAGTGTCATTTCGTTAAAAGGGACATGATTATTTTATCCAAAAATGGTACTGCAAGTAAGAAACTTATATTTTTTCTTCACTTTCGGAAAAAAGACATTTTAACGAACAGAAAACACTCCAAATTTAAAAAAAAACCTGATATTTTGACGGGTGATTTTTCGATTGAAAATGATTCAGATTTTTCGATATTTATTCAAAATAAGCTGAAAAAATAAATATTTCTTATCAAATAAATAACAGTGTATTTGAGATATCAGAAGGTAGGTTTTCACCAAATTTCGTGACAAAATATTGTTTTTTGTAAGAGATAAAGATAAAAAACCAAAAACTTGGTTTTTAGATTTTTTCACATAAAATTTGAGGTTATGTCAAAAAATGTTAGTACAAAAGTTTTAGATCTTTTTATTACCTACAACTTTGCCACATAACTTTTTTCCGTAGGACTTTTACTTTTGCCGGAAATCGAGAAAACCCATTTTTACCCTTAAATACCCATCCCCATATCCTTCTCGACCTCAGATCGCCCGTAAATTATTTTTCCTTTATTTTTTGTAATATTATCCTCCTTTTCAAATGAGTTTCATTCTACTATAATTTAATTATGTCTTAAAAGCTATTGGCACTGGTCTATAATGTGTATCAGTGTTTCACCGTACTTGTAAGTGACGAGTATGGAGCCGGTGTGCGGCGGGTGTCCGGGCAGGGCGACCGGTTGTCTCCTCCACGCCATGGAGCCCGGCGGCTGCTCCCCCCCGCCCGCGCCGCCGCCCGCCGCCCGCTCGCGCCGCCCGTACTCGTGGCCACACACCAGACACTCGATGTACGGACTCTCCTGTAACTCAAACCGATCAGTGAACGACTCGCTCTATACTCTCCCTATCACAGGTGACGTCTAGGGAATGCAATCTGGATCTCGCGAGATCTCGCCTTATTTTTCGAGATTAATCTCGAAGCATAAAATGACGAGATCTCAGCCGAGATTGAAGAGATTGAATGAATTTTGAATTGAATTGAAAAAACATTAAGCACTCTCTGTTTTATAAGGAGTTATTTCCAAAACCATTCATAATACTTGTTTCTTTTATATTTATTATTTTTGTACTCTAACATAGGTTCATCTTAAGTCTATGGATAAGTAGTTACCGTAACCGTTTACTACATTTATGATCCATGTTCTTCAATGAAAAATAAGAACAGTTTACTGCGCAATAAAGAGTCTATTTGTTGCTAAAATTCTTTACCGTGAGAGATATTGTTAATTTTTATATTTTTATAAACCAAAGACTGGTAATTTTGATTTCTAAAACTTAATTGTGATTTGTATGTTTATTAATGGCTTAATTATTATTAATAGTCAATTCGTTCTGTATCTTACTCTCGTAATAAAGAAAAGTAAGCTGTTTTCTTTGCGTTTTACTTACTTAAGAAAAACGATAGTTTTTTAAAATTTCAGCCGAGATCTCGAAATTCCCGAGATCTCGCGAGATTTACATTTCTAATCTCGCGAGATCTCGTCTAGAGATTGCATTCCCTAGTGTCGTCACGTCCGCTCCTCACCCCGTTCTCCCTTAACCGCTCCAGATGGTTTTGTAGACATCGCAGGTGCAGCACGTGGTGGCAGGCGGCCAGGGCGACCACTCGTTCCTGCAGGGCAGCGTGTGTTCGGGGCGCGCGGGGCGGGGTGGCCGCCTGCGGGGAGTGTGCGGCGTCGTGTGTGTCGAGCGGCGCGGCGCAGGCTCCACACAGCGCGCCCCACTGCGGTCGGGACACCTCCGCCACCCAGCGCCACACCCCCTCCTCCTCCTCCCCCCCCTGGTCCGCGTCCAGCTGCTCCATGTCCCCGGTCGCTCGGCTCGTGTCGTCGTGCCCTCGGTCCCCGGGTTTGTCGAACACGTCGTCGCTGCCCGCGCTACAGTTCAGGAGCTCCCCCACGGCGGCTGTCTGTGAACGTGAAGGACACAGGGTTAACACGTTTCAATATATTAAACATGTAACGGTGTGCGTGTGTGTGTGTGTGTGTGTGTGTGTGTGTGTGTGTGTGTGTGTGTGTGGGCGTGTGTGTGGGCGTGTGTGTGTGCGTGTGTGTGTGCGTGTGTGTGTCCCTCCTCACCTGCAGACTCTCCTTACTCTCGTGACTGAGGTAGGTGGACACCGTGTCTACACTGTGTCTCCGTCCTGAGCGCGTGCTGCCACTGTCAGGGTCGGTGAGCGTCCCGCCGGCCTCCTCCGCGCGCCTCTCCGCCGTCGACGACTTCGAGTTACCTGAACGGAAAGGTTTATGACTATATAATTTCAATAATATATAATATATCTTTACAAAAAGTCGATAAAGTTAAAGACCTAGGCGTTTATTTAGACAGTAAATTGTTAATGACAGATCAAATAGAACATGTTAAAAATGTAGCTTATAAACAGCTGGGCTACATTAAGCGTGTTTATAAAGTTTTCACCAATATAGATTATGCTTATTAATCGAATATGCTTATAGCATTTGGTGTCCGAGATACACGACATACGTGAATAGCTTAGAGTCCATACAAAAGCAATTCTTAAAATTCCCAAGCTTTAAAGATCATAGACATTTCAACTCATACACAGATGCGTGCAAATTCTACCACATAGAAAATCTAGAAGTCAGGCGTCGACAAGACATACAGATCTATTTGACACCCCACAGGTTAATACGAACTATGCACAAAACTCAGTTTTATATCGTTTGGTTAAAACATATAATAAATTTTATGCCGACATAGATTTACTTAATTTACCTAGAAGTGCGTTAAAAAAAGCAATAAAAAGAAAAAGATTAGGCTAACCTACACGCACGCATGCACGCACACACACACACAAAATACACAAACTAATTCACAAGCATATGTTTATGAACAGTATTTATACCTACCTTAAATTGTTTATCTCATATTATAAAATAATTAGGATTTGTATTGTATAAAGTATTCCACATTGAGACTGCTTTTCGAATTTATGTTATAATAGTGTAATCCTATTTTGATCATAATTTTTGCATTATATTGTAAAATTTTATAACATACTGTAACACTGTTGGATTGCCAAATGAAACAATATATAAATAAATACTAGTTTACGGGCGCGACTTCGGCGGTATGGACTACGGAATTTGCTTCACAGAGATGTTAACAATATCAGTAACCAGTAGGATACAGATCACATACATAACCAACAGGGTCGTGGACATAAATATGCTGAGAAGCGTCGTCATAAAATACATATAAATGTAGTAGATTACGCACTGAATATATTAAGGTTGTGTAATATCTGCCGCGCGAGGCCCGGCTTCCTGTCCTTAGGCGAGGCGCTCCGAGCCCCGGGTCGCAGGTCCCGCGGCGGGGGGACGTGCGCGGGCGCAGACTTCACGGACTGGACCGACTTCACCGACTGCACGGACTGTACGGACTGCACGCTCGAGCCCGTGTGCTGCTGAGGTATGCGACACCTACGACCTGGACACGTTATACAAATTTAAAGACTGAACAGTCAATGTTACAAAGATTCACCAGTTAAAAAAAATTACATTAAGAAATGTGCTTAATATTAGATGTCATCATTATTTGAGATATTCGTTATCTTTATAACTATATATATAAAAGAAAGTCGTGTTAGTTACTCCACTTATAACTCAAGAATGGCTGAACCGATTTAGCTGAAAATTGGCAGGAATGTAGTTTAAAGCCAGGAAAATGCAATAGGATACTTTTTATCCCGTTCGACAGCCTTCCCGTGGGACTTGACATGGAACGTCAGTCACTATAAAACGTGGAATAACGAAACACAATTGACAGCTATGCAATTGACGTATAATGACAGATTTTATTTTATTTTATTTATTTATTAACACCAACAAGACATACATTGATAAAATCGAAAAATACAATATTGAATAAGTAATCAAAAAATCAAAATGTTGTCTTAATTATAGGTGTTACACACAATTACAAGAAATATAGACACGTAACATGCAGATAAAATTATATTACTAATAATAATCATCAATATTAACATTAAAATAATAATTAATACATAGTTTATTATAAAAAATAGATTTAAAATATTTATAATTTAGTACTTTAAAATCATTAATAAATAAAATAAAAAAGATAATATGTAATGACGTAATGATGACAATTAGATATTTGTAAGAGATCTACTATATAAAAAATAAGTCCGGTTTTCCATCTTGACTCTATAACTTCAGAACGAACGAACCATTTCCACGGTTTTGCTTTCGTTGTAAAACATGTACTACAAATCAATATTTTAAGTAGATGGCGCAGGTGCATGATACATTGTTTGACAGCTACTCATTGTTCTGTGCTCAGTTAATTTCATGTGAATAATCGGTATTGTGTTTGTAGTTTGAACTCTTAAAACCATTTAGTATTTGCGGGATAAATTTAGAAAATCATTGTTTTTCACATGGGCGTTATTTTTTGCGTGTTCACGAGTTTGGAAACCATCCGCTTTATTTGTGTTAGGCCTCGGCCTCGAATTTTGCGGGCAGCGGAGCGGGAGCGGGAGCGGCAGGATCTTACGCGTATAATCAAATGGACCGACCCTCGAATACAGCGGTGCCCGCTGCCCGCTATTTTGGAGAAATGTATGCGTTTTCGTGCCGCCGCCGCTGCCGCTCCGCTGCCCGCAAAATTCGAGGCCGAAGCCTTAAAGTTAGACTAAAAAACAAAAAATTGTGGTTTACAAAGGACCACTTTAATGAAACGGATAATTTGCAGACACGTTATAACGCTTCGTTTCAGTATCTACTTTGGATTCACTTTCATTTACTTAGAGAAGTTCAACTAAATAACACTTCGTTTTTGTAATCGAAATGAATTCATTACTGTTGTGAAATGAAATTAAAAATTTTCCTTTTTATATAAAAGTCTTCTGGTGGCGAAACGGAGTTCGCCGGGTTTACTAGTAAGTTATACATCTCACACACATATCACACGGTACATATCATGAGGTACAAAAGTGTACATTGAAACAAATGGATGTTTCATTAAGAGGACGTATATATATTACACTGACCGTCCACAGGGTTCCTGTCAGGTACGGGAGGCGAGGCGGCGGGCGGGCCGTGTGTGGTGGAGGGCGAGCGGGCCAGGGGGTAGGGGGGGTGGGCCGCGCGCCGCACCAGCCGCAGCGAGGCGCGCCGGGTGCTGCGAGCTGTCATACTGGACAGACACACCGACCAGCCCTCAAACTGGACGCACTCACCACCCACCGACCAACACTCCTCCAGGCGACATTGGATCTGAAACATGACAGCCAGTTATAAATATATATGTATATAATAGTGACCGAGCCACTACGGAGGACTGACAGAAATTTCCACCGTGGAAAATAATACATGATTACCTCACTACCCGTGTCGTAATATTAGAAATACTGTATAATATTATTATAACAACGGACCACACACTTCTTATAGTCTTCATTATCATATTTAGTGTTTTTACACTTTCCATATTTGAGGAAGGTAGGGAGTTCTACAATATGTATGCTGATAAATAACAGACTTTCTGATTTATAATAAATGCTGTCAGATACTACTAACATAGGCGACTATACACAGACTATCTACAAAGATAGTATATGTATTTGGAATCAATAACTTTCCATAATAAAATTAAACAGTTATCATGCTTGAAGTGTTGTTGCCTGTATGTATACATAATAAATACATATACACCATCTCAATTACACTAGTAGGAAAGAGATATTTAAATTATTATATTGTATATTGTGCCTATGTATTATCTTTTATTAATGTAAGCAAAAATCACTGTCCATAATGGCACCTAGAAACAAGTCGATATTTGATATGCTACATTGTCAATTTAATACATTATTATATGTTCTGTCGCCGAGTCGCCATTCTACCATCGAACTGTAATGTCGTCATATCAATTAAATACTGTAAATTATATTACAATACAAATATCTATACTCAATTGCCTTTCATTACATGATCCACAAGATATAAAAAGGCAAAATATTATAACCCACCTCCATAGGTAGTGGGTCATATCGTAGGTCAGGGGGTCGTGGTGGGTCAGTGAGGCGAGCCCACTCCCAGCGAGCTCCTCGGCCACCCGGAGACTGGACGCTGTAGCACGAGCGACGAACACCACACTCCGACACACCTGGTGGAGAGGAGATCATGATCATCATCATCATCATGAGACAGACACATACACATATATATGTAATAAAATAATATTAATCATAGTAAAACTTGTCTCCCGAGGAGGCAGGTCTGTAGAGATATTCTACAATCTACATATATGGCAATATCATCAGTTACAAACACTGAATCAATATCCAGTTGTTTCATACTCATGTTATTCAAGAGTTATGTTTCATTGAGTAATAGGAAAAAATATACGAATATGACAGGCAGATGATGCTGAGGTAGATACCTATAGTCTACCAGCCATATGTAAATATTTTAATAATAATGTAATTTGATTTAAATAATACAACAGTATTAGTACTTCAATACAAATCACAGCTCCGATGGATGTCCCTTAGCAGATATATCTTACCTGGAGTGTCGGAGCATTGTGTGAGTGTGCGGAGGTTAACATAGTGACCCTTGAGTGTGGGGTCAGCATCTGATAACACTACTCTTGTAAGCTTCTTAGCATGGGCTCTCTCCAGAGTGCGAGCCACACCAGGAGAGTGAGGCAACCATTGACCCTCATACTGCCACTCCCACACTACCACACAATGCACAGATGACATCACACCAACAACATGGCCTGCAATATATTTAAAACACTTAATTATTAAACCATGCTCTTCATATAAGATTCTACTCTGCAAAATATCATCAAACTAATAGCTACAATAGAATGAATCTTTGCTACTGTTTGGATTAAAGAGGGCCGTCAAGGATATAAAAACTATCCATTTAGACAAAGTATGACACGCGCAAAATATATTTCTATTAAATATTTACGTTCCGTTCAAATAAGTCATTAACAGCCTTTCTCACATACACATTATCTTGTTTACAAGAGGTAAACAGTTCTTGTCACATGAACCATTTTATAAATATGAAACTAGCACAAACACAATTCTACACTCTACATATTATAGTACCATCTAATAAAAGTTGTTATTCAATAGTATGTTACATACATACCGTTCACAATTAACTTTAATCGACTTCAACTGAGCTCACTAATATATTATGATCGTATACAATCACTGTAACGTACTGCATCAGCGATGGTTTTGACAGGATTTTAACTATTTTAAGGCAATGTGACGCTTGATGTACAAAAATAATAGGACTTGTTATAAAACTTGTTAATAAATATGTAAATTACACTATTTTTTGTTTGTGAAAGGATAGGAATTTCAATATCGTCCCGTCTTGACGATTAGAATTTGACGGTTGTGACTTAATAGTCAATTGACGTTTATTCTGTTTGGTATTTACTTACTGTTTGTTTGGTACTTTGGTATAACAATAATCAACTTCTTGGTATAGAAATCTCATGATAACATATAGTAATATCATTTAAAAAAATCGCTTTTTAATAATAATAATTTAAAATAACACTTATAAAATAATTACAGTGAAAGAATATTTTAAGATCAAATCTATTTAGTCTAAATGCTCAATAAAGTGTATGTTTAAAGGTGATTAAGTTTTAATTCATAATGAAATAATAATCAGCGACTTTATTGTAAATACTGTCAATTGAATAAATTGGTTAATCTGTTTTATTATCATTTATCACGAACCTAAAGGCTAGACGTCTGTTTGACAGTTTATTAAGTTTCTTCTGCTTACTTGATTAGTTGGTAGATATAATAACTAAAAGTATTTCAAGTTTTGTGATTAAAATATTGTTCAAATGAACACATATAAATCTCAAAGAAAGGTTTATTGAGTTCTTCTGTGTCGTATTATGTCGTATAACAAATGTAAGTTGTGTTATGATATTCCTCGTAAGCTTTTATAAACATATTATGTTATGCCACCGCCATTAACTTTCTCATTGGTAACATGTTTTTCAAAACAAATATTTATAGAGTTCATAGAAAATAATGTATACTATTATATATTTAAACACTTTTTAATCTAACTTAAACGTTATTTAATATCTGTAGTTATTGAATTATTGGTTTTTTTTTCAGTTAATCCACGCTTCTCCAGTCGTTACAATATTCGTGGAAACTTTATACCCCCATTTGATGTGAGTTTTAATAAGTAATAATGTCGATAGAGGAATAAGAGAACATATTTTAAACAATAATTTATAATGACATGTGATTACCGCAGTATGGCGACTTCGTTACTGACGGTTGAGGGCCCTTTAGTCCTCAGTCTTTTCTTATTGTGCTAACACTTGTTTTGTCCTTAAGCCAACATTGCAGAAGGAGAAATAAAGGTTACTTTAACAATCCTCTGTAATTTTGGATAACACCATTGGCAAAGCTTCAAAAGCTGAGAAACTGAGTCAATGGCACAATGGATACTGTGTGGCACTTTAAGAGACTGACTGAATGTTGAGAGTACGATATATTTATGAGGCAATTCCTCATAAATGTAAAGGATTCTCTAGACTAGATTAACAGTAAGCTGCCCCAAGTTCCTGATATGAAACAGCTCTTTAAGATTACTCTATCAGTCAATTAATGGCTCATTAATTATTTTATTGGGGGTAATCTTAAATTGTGATGGTCATAAAAGGAAAGTGGTGTGTTATGGTCAATGTGTGCTTGCTCTCTGTGTGATTGAACAATGAATGGTTACAAGGATTATGAGTAAATGTTAAGTCCATGTTATAAATGGACATATTGTATATATCTTTCAGAACTAATGACATGTATGCCTCTTGTCTTGAATGAATAAATGAGGAATTATAATTTTTGTTGTAATCTCACATAAAGTCAACTATGAATATCAATATTAGCTTGTTGTCATATTGTATGTGTGTGTGTGTGTTTGTGTCTGAGTGTAAGTGCACATGACCAACTCAGCTAACTGCCAGCAGTCGGGGCCTCGGCCGAACTACCACCACATGTCACCGACAAACAACATGCAGTTCAACAAGCCTGTCACTGTGAGTAATAATGCAAATAAATAAAATATTAATTTCTCAAAATAATTTAGTATCTGCCATATTAAGTGATTGAAATATAAATAAATCTCTAAGTAACAAAATAGTGGTTTAACATAAATAAGTAAATGTAGTGTTGTAAATAAAGTTTACTACTATTTATCAGTAGTTCAATTGATGTTTTAAACTTGTTTTATTCTGTGGATATTATTTTAAAGGGAAAAGACAATCAGCAGTGGAATCAAAGGCAACAACAACAGCACTATCAGCCGAAGCCCCAAACACACCCAGACCAACTACAACAGCAACCACCATTGCAACCTCAACAACCACCGCCACAACCACAACAACCACCGCTACAACCACAACAACCAGCTCCAGAAATACAGCAACCTCCACAACAACAAACTCTTAAAGTAGAACAACAAAGTCCTGAACAACAACAACACATGGGACAGACTCAAGAGGCTACGACCCAGCAGGAGACGGGGGAGGAAGTGAAACCAGCAGTGGACGACGGTGACGTCACTAAACCTGCTGTACCGTTCTGGATGAAAACTAAGTTACAGGGAGGTGAGGAACACGTGGCACCCATACATACTATGACTACAACGGTCAAGCCAGGCTTAATTTATTTTATTATTTCAAGTCCATACAGATCCAACCATTTTCAGTATATTTACAGCCCACCTGTCACACTGTCTGACTACTCTATGACCTAACATGTTTTAATAATTCTCAGTGAAGAAGATCACGAACCGCGAGCGACGTCGCCGGCAGAACGAGACCCTCCGCCGTCTGCTGGCGCCCAAGAACGCGCTCATGGTGCTCAACGAGATGTTGCCCGGAGAGACCATCGCTAACGTACGACACCCACACATGCTTGTAGCTCCTTACTCTAATGTATTTAGTCACTCGTTCTAGACTTCCATTTATTTTTTTCATGTGAAAAGCAATTCAAAGTGGAGCCCGTAGGTAGTGTCGGCACGTACTCCCGAGTGACGCACGCCTTCAACGCTGAACTCAAAATAGAGTCGAACGTCTACACAGGCTACGGTAGTAGAAATAAGAAAGATTAATATGTATGTAGGTGTGAGTAATGAGTGGTCATGCTAAAGTTATAATACTGTGCAGGTGAGACTAAGATGGCCGCTCGGAACGCGGCGGCCGAACAGGCGATCAGAGACCTCATCATAAAGAAAATGTCGCGAGCCAAGTCTTGTTCAGAGAAGATGGAAGGTGAATATCCACACACACACACACACACACACTCACAGATACACACAACAACATACATGGGCACATGTTACCTTATATTCGTCAAATGGTCTCATAACCCTTACGTGATATGTTACATATGTTACTTTGATCAGTCATGGAGACGGAGGGCGAGGCGGGCGCGGCGGGTGAGGCGGCGGAGGGGGAGGCGATGCCCATGATACAGCTGGCGTCCTTCGCCTTACATAAACTGTTCTCAGAGTGGGAGGAGAGCGGACACCGCGTGCCGCAGATGAAGCTCAACCAGGGCTCGGTGAGTACTCCCGCCTCCCGGACACACGAACGAGTCGACGCGTCACGTAAGGTCACACGTCTCATACAGTTCATGTTGTATCAGAACGGCGAGTCTCCGTCAGAGAGTCCCCAGCCAGCTCCGGCCAAGAAGGTCCGCCAGCTGCCGGAGCAGGCGTCCTCCATGCACCCCTGCATGCTGCTCACGTACATGAGGCCTCAGCTCGCCTACAGGCAGCTGGACCCGGACGGGACGCGGCCGCAGGACACGCTGTTCAACGTGGCCGTTGACGTCGACGGACACACGTTCTACGGGAAAGGTGAGGCATACGGGGTCTTGAAAGTTGTAACTTCTAATACATAAATCTTCATTCATCTTTTATCTTCTAATATATAAAATTCTCGTGTCACAGTTTTCGTGCCCATACTCCTCCGAAACAACCTGACCGATTTTGATGAAATTTTTTGTGCTTATTCGGTAGCTATGAGAATCGGCCAACATCTATTTTTCATCCCCCTAAATGTTAGGGGTAGTCCACCCCTAAATTTTTTTTTTTTATTTTTTAGACAAAATTTTTAATTACTATTTTTTTATGATACAACGTACAAAAATACATACAATCCTAAATTTTCACCCTTCTACGATCAACCCTTATTTTTTAATAGCTATTTTAGTAATTTAATCATTTTTCATCTCCGGTCGATAACTGATCAATCGTCATTTAATAAGTTATCCCCGCCAGATATCTACAGGTGTCACTTCTGACCCAGTAAACAGCACGGAGTAGGGATGAGAACGAAGCCGGTCTTCTGTTTCTCTCACACAATTAGACTTCTCTCACTCCCTACACAGTTGTCGGCCATCGTTATTGTTTGTGCATCAAGTGTAGTAGTAACGTTGACAATTATTATTTTGCTAGCTCAGTGTAACTCTCATATTAACTATTAATCATTCCTAATCACTTCAAAACACGGAGATTTATGGCTTTAATAGGTAAACTCCAAAAATATAAGTAAAAAAACGTAACAGATATTTCTTGATTATAGGGCGAAACGAAGTTCGCCGGGTCTTCTAGTTATATATATAATTCTTCTGTGAGTGTCTATGTCACTGAACTTCTCTCAAACGACTGGACCGATTTTGATGAAATTTTTTGTGTGTGTTCAAGGAGATCTGGGAATGGTTTAGATTCACAATTTTGTCCGCTGGACAACGTTTTTTTTATTAATTTTTAATTTATTAGTAGTTGTTGATTTTATAATGTTTTACATTGGATCCGATAGACGGCGCTACCATCGCAGTGTCAAATTTTAAATAATATTCGAATTTTAATTTTAGTCTGTCCCAACAGTTAGCGCTGCGATCAAATTAATAAAAGTTTTGTTATCATTTGTTATGGTAGACCATGTGCTGGTTCAAATATTATCTTTATCTATTATATTATATATATAAAAATGAATTGCTGTTCTTTAGTCTCACTTAAACTCGAGAACGGCTGAACGGATTTATCTTATCTTAGTCTTGAAATGTTCGTGGAGGTTCAGGGAAGGTTTAAAAACTGAAAAAATTGATTTATTTCCGGGAAAACCCTTAAAACAGCCTTTTTCTATTTCCCATACAAACGTTTGTTTTGACATTAGATTTGACAAATAACTAATATGTCAATCATTCCGACGCACTTCAAAACATGGCGTTTTATGCCTTAAAGGTAAACTCCAAAAATGTAAATTAAAAAAACGTAACAGATATTTCTTGATTATAGAAAGATACGAAGTTTGCCCGGTCTTCTAGTAATACTATAGTAATTTAGTTTGTCAACTCAAAGTACCTAAAAAGTGTATAGATGTGAGGTGAATGTTCCAATATATTAAATATTGTTCTGTACATTGTTATAGCGTACAGTAAGAAGGAGGCCCGGCGCATGGCGGCGCGGCTCGCCTGTGAGACCATCTTCGGAGTCAAGTTCGACACTCAGTGATAGTCGCTACATGCCTTGTACTACAGTCAGCGTGTGAATCTCTTCACTCTTTAATAATATGATGTATGAAGCAATATGTTTTCTATGATACCCATGTGTGGTGATGACACGAGTCTTCCACATTTTCATTGGAAAATCCTTTTTGAAGTCAAATTTTAAAGTGCAATTATCTTATGTTCTAAGTGATCGGAGATATTATAAGTAATTGTTGAACTACGTAACATTTTCAAAGAGGATTTTTTATTTATGTAATGACATAGGAATTTATTTTAAACCATTGTTACTTTGACTGACTGATGTGTTTGAATTATATTATACATGATCAAATAGCTTGTGTATTTCTTTCCCTTAGAAGAGGACTAGCTTTAGTATGAAAGAAACATTTTGTATGACTTGATGATGCTTAATATTCAAATGTTTATTCTTAAAGTAGACAAATATTCTATACAAAGTTCTTGGGCCACCAAAAATGTGGTATATTTTTTCTAACTTCCAAAAAAGCATATGTATCTTGAACCTTTGATATTCAGTCAGTCATTTAAATAAAAATATATATAAAAAAACTGCAGTTTATGCAAACATATATATACAGGGTGACTGGTGAATTACTATCGATACTTGAGGACGTGATATTTGGCGATCATATATGACAAAATAAAAATTAATATAACAAATATTAATAAACTTCTTTACCTCAAACCTCAAAACAAACACCCAATGACTTCCTGGACTTCTAACCTAACTTAACAACGCCATCTATTGTTGTGTAGTTAAAGCAATTAGCAAAAAGTAATATTACTATCCTCCAATAGATGTCAGGAAGAGTCATTTTATCTCGGTAACCAGATATTTATTTATGGGTGAATATACGCTATTTGAATTCCATTGGTCTATAGAAAATTTTTACGTGAAACTTATTATATCATGGTCTATCTATGTTTAAACAATAAAGAACATGGCATTTTAATTTCTTAGTCTAACCTCAAAACAAACATCCAATGACTTCCTGGAACTTAACAACGCCATCTGCTGTTGAATCGTTAAAGCAATGAGCAAAAAGTAGTATTACTATTCGCCAATAGATGTCAGGAAGAGTCATATTTTAAACGACTAATTTTTGTCATTCTTTTTTACGTAAAATAACATTTTCTAAATAATTAATGATGATAATGATTCCTAGCCACATCGATTTATCGCCCCCAAAACCCCCTATATACTAAATATCATGAACATCGTTTGAGCCGATACCGAAATTGCCATAATATGTAAATATACATACAAGAATTGCTCATTTAAATATATAACGGCCCACAAAGACTATTCACGATAATTTTGTAATTTAAAATAGTTAAAAATGTATACTCCTCTGGCCTTCCCATTAATGAATTAAAATAAACTTATGGCTGAATACTTTCAAAAGTATACAATTATGTTTTTTATTTAATGTGGTATTACGCTTTATTTAAATTTTATTTTACGTTTATTTAAATTAATAGAAATAAGAAAAAAATTTAAACCAGATATTGGTAATAATATAATGAGATCTAAGTCTTTTGTGAGTATTTCTTTTAAATATATTTATTAAGTTTTCTTTTTAGTGTCATAAACAATATTCTCTTCTTCTGTATCCAAATAAAATGTTTAATATCTCAATTTTAATTAATTCTTCAAATCTAAAAAAATCTAAAGTGAAAAGAGGTTCATATTTCAACTATTAAAAAATTTAAATTATCTGATGATCTATTGTTATGAAGCTTTTTATTTTATTATTATGATTCTGCTTCATATCATGTTAAGTTTTGAAATAAAGGTTTTAATAAATCACCTTAAAGAGGTACAATTAAAATGAAAATTTGAGAGGAGTGGAAGAGAGTGGAGACATTGTTCGTAAAACTAGTGAAAGAAATGCTGTTGTCTTTTCGTAATATACGAAATCAAAATTTAATTTCACTGGACAAATAAATTTCTAACATGATTTTGATCTGCTACAATTTTATTAACATTTTAAAAACATGTAACATAATTTAAAAAAATACTTAAATTAAATTTACAACTCGAGCCTCACGTGTACAGAGTATTAAAAAAATATATTTCAAACATTCTATTTGTTAACATTGTAAAAAAAATATTTGTAACAAAAACAATGATTCATATGTTTAAGAACATTTTGACATAAAGGTGGCTCTTCACTTGGCGTTGCGTATTCATGTAGCGTATTCGCCGCATTTGTCCAAATAGCGCAAACACGACAACCAAACTTGGCATGCTAACAACACGTCTTTACGCGTTATCGCTTATTTGTTCAAATATGTATGTCAAATGAAGACGAATATATCCTCCACACTTGGTCTTGTTTAGCCGAACACAACAAATAAACGCCAAGTGAAGTACCTTAAGTCAAATAAACAAAATGACAAATACAACTCAGGCACAGTACGTTTAAAAACAAAAAACAGATCTAAATTAAATATTTTTCTGAAACATCTTTTAAAATAGATCAAATATATTTTTTTATTTGTTGTCTTCCGATATGAACATGATAGATGGATTTGATTTCTACTATCGTCTACATTATTTTTCAACGAATTTCATTTCATAGATAGGGTTCAATTTATAATCTAGCAGCCAATTTATAAAGGGACGACGGTATAGTCCCCTAGTCTCCTTAAAGTCTAACGGACGCATCAATTTTATTCACTAATTAATTATATTTTAAGATCCTTAGATCCCTAAATTGAAATTGGTGTCACATAATAAATTTATGGCAGTATTATATAACAACGATTTGATATTTTTAGTTCTTTAAAGGCGTCAATTTATTATATTCTTTAAAATCACATTTTCCAAGGTTCCTCGAAATATTATTTTACTTTATTGTAATACGTAGTACATTTGGATTTGATAGCACAAGTAATGATGGATGAAGTTCTGACGATGGGAATACAAATGGAAGCCATATCTGTTTACTTGTCTATTTAGACGATAATATTATTTTACTGGGAAAAGCGGCGAATTGTAAACTTCCTACTAGCTTTAACTCCGGTCTTTGTTCTCAAATTAAACTTAGAATACCTACTATCAAATTATCTGTTGCTTTGATCTTTACTGACATTTACAAAATATACAGATTGTTTAAAACCTTTTCTAAATTTTGATAAAATACAGTAATAAAACCCTTTGTTTCATTAAAACATTTGTTTGACTGACCGTTGTAGCTCTTATTAGGGAAAAAACTATAATTTAAAGTGGAAGCCATGAGAAACATTATATTCTGACAATTATTATATGATAAAAATATTGTTCATACATATAAATAAAATTCACTTTAGTTTTGTGTGAATTTTTGTCCTCTTGAATAAGCGATTCGTAATACGAGTTGTATTTCATGGACTACATCTAGAACTAAAACTCAACAGAACTATAATTAACGAGGAACGCAGACACGGCGGCTAGTATGGTTGCGGCTATAAAATGTCAGCTTTAAAAAATCTACGTCAACTATCAACATTTAGTCAGTACCGTTAATATATCAAGTAAGCGTGTATACAACACGGCCTGGAGTGCTATGTACAAGTATCATAGTAATGGTCTGTCTGTACTCTATAGTGTATGTTCTACAGTAGTCGGTAGGTCCACAGTGAGAGCGGTCTCTGTAGGAGCGCGGGGTGAGGCGGCTCGCGGCCCCCCACCAGCAGCAGGTGTAGTCGCCGCTCCTCGCTCCTCGCGGGTCTCCTCAGCTCCTGCAGCTCGATGTCTCCGGGCGCGACCCCCGAGTCCGGGGTCAAGGCGGACCCCAGAGTCCTAACGTCCGGGCCGAGGTAGTGCGGGTTGCTGAACCCCGCGGGCCCGGCCGCCAGCCTGTGCACGCGCTCGGCGCTCGCGTAGTCCGACGTGGACAGCTCGCCCTCGTCCTCGGCCTCTCTTCTCGCCTCCGTGACTCTCTGCGTCGTGAACTTCACCGAGGCGGACTTGGGCATCGGTCCGACCCTACACCGTGAGAGCGTGCCGTTCTTCTCCCTCGTGTAGTGCTCGTCGTCTCTGTTCAAGTCGTCCTCGTCCTCTGAGTCCAGGTACACCAGCTTGGTGGTCTGTACGGGCGTCAGTACGGGCGTGGGCAGGATCATGTCGGCGAAGTCCGGGACGGAGATCGGTTCCCGCGCGAGGTCACTCGCTCCCCGCGGGTGCTCGTCTCCGTCGGCCGGCTGGCGCTCGTCGATGACGTATGCGGAGCGCGACTTGGACAGCGAGGAGTGCTCCGTCCGCACCAGGCTCTCCGTGGAGTCCTGCTCGCCCGCCAGCACGCTGTACGAGCAGCGAGCCGCACGACGGATGTGGAAACTGGACAGCTTGGAGATCTCGCGCAGGAACCCGCTCGGCGCCTCACGAGCCGGCGCGGACGAGGGCGGCGCGGGGGCGGGGCGGGCGGGACGGGGGGCGGCGCCGCCTACCAGCAGCGCGCGACTGTCCACGCGGGCTGACGGCCACTTCACACTTTGCAGGATCCGCTCCCAAGTTTCCGTCGCTGTAAGTTTGCATCGATAAGGTTTATATCTTACAAGAGTTATTAGGCTTGTTATTTTAAATTCTTATTTGGTCTGGTTTTGGTCTTATTTTTTCGTAAATTATTAGTACTCATTTCCTCTTCGTTTTGATTATACAATTTGAAAAGATAAAAAGAAGGATAACTTAAACAGCTTAAAATTAACATGAAAATGGTCATAGGAAAGAAATAAATTATATTGCAAATAGTCGAATTTATTAAGAAGGTCTGGTCTCTAACAATACTCCAAATTCTTCTATTTATTTATTTAATTTACAACAAGCACACTTACAACATACATATTTACAGTTAAAGTGACTATATTATAACATCAGATATGTACGGCAATGACAAGTGTACATAACATTTACTAGCTTGTTATGTGACGGTGTAATAAGTGGTCGATTAATTAAAATATAATAATTTTTATACGATGTAATCAGAGGACGCCTTAGCTTCTGGGTAAACTCGGCTATTCTACACGAGTCTGACTCAGCAGTTCCGTGTGAAGACAGTTGGTTTTATATTTCTTTTATGTTTTTAGATTATAAGATTTCTTTTAAGATTTTCTTTAGATTTATTGTCACTATTTGTTCAACCTTTGTGCAACATAGTCGCAAACCTAGTTGTAACTTACTTTTAATTAAATTAAGTCAATTAATTTTGGTTTCATTGCATCCACCGTCCGTCGAAATCTAATTTGATTAAAAAGCTTACATACTAATTTAAAGATAAAATAAAAATATTACGTAAATATAACAAAATAAAATAAAAAAATATTACTATATAAACTCAGGAAAACTTTAACTTAGAAAAAAAAATAGTCAATAATTTTTTGTTTAAATACATAAAATGAATCACTAAATAGGTCTAGACTTGGTAATTTTTTGGAAATGTCATTATAAAATTTTGTTAATTGCACTACGGGAGACTGGGATCCAAGTTTAGTTTTGACGCGCGGGATGTGAAATGTGTTCGGAATAGAATTCCTTGGGCATTTAGAAGGAACATTTAGAAGGAAGCGTTCGACTAGGCCACTGTACTGAATATCACCATGAAGTAGTATATGTAAGAAGCAGAGACCCTGCACGCATCGTCTGTCACGAAGAGACAGCATTTTGAAATGCAGAAGCCTTTGAACATATGGTTGTCTATGCGAGAACTTCTTTGAATGGAAGGCAAGATGCCTAATGAAGTTGCGTTGAATACTCTCAACACGATGAGAATGTAGAATGAGAATAGTATAAAGGGGATTCCACACAATACAAGCATATTCCAATTGACTACGCACAAAAGCATTGTACAGCAAGTTCTTGGTAGTCACTTAAATTCTTAAACCTTAAAACCTAATGTTTTAGCTACTTTACCAATAATACTAGTAATATTAGAAACAAACTTTAATTGGCTATCCACCATGACACCAAGATCTATAATCTCAGTTATTTTTTGCAATTGTGCGTCGCCAATAAAATAACCTGACACAAGTTGTTTTTTTTCGAGAAAATCTGACATGAAAACATTTATTGATGTTGAGAGTCATAAAATTTGTTTTGCACCATTTATAAATTCTATCTACATCGTTTTGAATTATCATAACATTTGATTGACTTCCAACCCTTCTGTATATCTTTAAATCATCAGCAAATAAAGAGACTTTACATGATTTAACGTGGTTTGTGACATCATTAATAAATAATGAGTACACTGAATTTCTATTGAAATAATGAGTACACTGACCGAAGTGGAAGCGCCACAATTCGTTGGTGGGGTGTCCGTGCGCCTCTCCACCGAAAATATACAGGTGTGCGCCGGCCCGGAGACCCGCGTGACCGGAGCGGGCGCTCGGGGACGACTTGGCGGGCGTACGGACCTGGGTCCATACACGGGACACTGGAACAGATACACGACACGTGAGGGGGGAGAGACATGTGGGGGAGAGGAGGGGGAGGAGGGGGACTCACTGGTGTCGTAGTGCCAGAGGTCGCTGCAGTCTCGCAGGTCGCACTGGCCCGCGTGCACGTACAGACGAGCGTCGTAGAGAGCGGCCGCGTGACGGTGACGAGCCGGGCCCGGGGTCGCCGTGCGGACCTCCTGCCACGACTCGGACTCTGCGAAGATTAGATACAAGCATTCGGTTATAATAGTCAAGGAATGTATTGAATACCAGAAGACCCGGCGAACTTCATATCGCCCCATAATCAAAAAATATCTGTTACGTTTTTTGTTTATATTTTTGGAGTTTACCTATTAAAGCCATAAATCTCCGTGTTTTGAAGTGCGACAGAATGATTGACATATTAGTTAGTTGTCAAATTTAAAGTCAAAAAAGAAAAACGTTTGTATCAACAACTAAGTCATAAATTAAAAAATAATAAAAAAAAACATTATCCAGTAGACAAAATTGTGAATCTAAACAATTCCCAGATCCCTTTGAACACACACAAAAATTTCATCAAAATCGGTCCAGTCGTTTGAGAGAAGTTCAGTGACATACACACTCACAGAAGAATTATATACAGGGTGACTGGTGAATTACTATCGATACTTGAGGACGTGATATATTTTGACTATCATATATGACAAAATAAAAATTAATATAACATAAATACTAATAAGTTAACCAAAAGTTATGTAATTAATTACGCATCGTGTGCACGCCCTACAGATTAGGTATAGACTCACACACACATACGCGTGTGGCGGCGTAGTGTTGTATCAGCACGCCGCCGCACGCGTCCACACTAGGAACACTTGGAACGTGTCAACACTTTATTTATTTATACGGAAATTTTGTCAAAAATTAAGTGCCTATTTTTTTACATAATTCGATTGAGAATCATTTACCGAGTATTCTCCTTAAATATTGATAGTAATTCACCAGTCACCCTGTATATATAAAGATTATAAGTATTGGTCGTTAGTCACCATAATGGAATGCCCAGAGTTCGTTAGTGGACCCTCTCAGATCCTTATATCCTCCGTATATAAGCAGACAGTCTCTCAGCGCGTGTGCGGAGTGTCCCCGTCGTCCTCGCGGCGCGCTCGCGGCACGTGGTGTCCGCGACACTCGACTCACTCGACCCACCGAACTCGACTGACCGGACAACTTGCGCCAGCTCTCCAACTGATAACACAAATAATACTACTTAATACAACTTACTTGTTCATTTAAGTTAATAACATCTGGTTACCGAGCTTTGCTCGGTATTTAGGATTTATTAGTATTTATTTTATGTTTTTTTGTATTTCGTTCAGGCATTTTAATCTGAACACGTTATAAGAAGACATAACACAATATAAGGGTGAATATACGCTATTTGGTTTCTTCGTGTCCCAGAAGGAAGTGTTATCGGTTCCATTCAATATTTATAATTTACTAGTTTTTGCCCGCGACTTCGTCCGCGTTAATTTCGTCATTAGTAATATAGGTATAGCTGACCGGGCGAACTCTATTCCGTCTTCAATAACCCGGTATTGGTATTTATTAAATTTCTACTGTTTCAATCGAACAGAATGATTGACATATTAGTTAGTTGTCAAGTCTAATGTCAAAAAATCGTTTGTATGGGAAATAGAGAAGGGCTGTTTTTAGGGTTTTTTCGGCAATCATTCCAATTTTTCTCACCTTTTAAACCTTCCCTGGACTTCCAGGAGTATTTCAAGACTAAAATTAGCCAAATCGGTTCAGCCGTTCTCGAGTTTTAGCGAGACTAAGGAACAGCAATCCATTTTTATATATATAGAAGATTTATATGTCACTATTTTAAAATTAGTAATCACAGGGGCCAGACGATTATTCAATTATTTTTTTTCACTTTTATAAACACCAGAGAGAAATGTGTTACCAGAAGAGTGACACTGTTGCCAGAGTAGTAACAAATCAGAGCAGGGTATTGTCATACCATTGATTATTATTAGCTAAGAAAGTTGACTAATATTAAAAAAAAGTCTGTTTACTTCTATTTATTTATTTAAAAAAAAAAAATGTTTTTCCTCTGGCTATCATGTATGTAATATTCCAGAGGAGTGACGCTAGACAAGTGACAAAATCACACAATGTATTAAAATAAACATCACTCACTTTTCTTACATCACTTTAAGTTAATATATGACATCTACGGACATTAAACATTGATTAATTAATGTTTAATTTCGTAACGATAAAATACAAATGCTTATACAGGGTGACTGGTGAATTACTATCAATATGTAAGGAGCATACTCGGTACATGATTCTCATTCGAATTATGTTAAAAAAATAGGTACTTAATTTTTGACCAAATTTCCGTATAAATAAATAAAGTGTGGACACATTCCAAGTGTACGAAGTGTGGACGCGCGCGGCGGCGTGCTGATACAACACCACGCCGCCGCGCGCGAGTGTGTGTGTTTGTGTGTGTGTATACCTAATCTGTAGGGTTTTCACACGATGCGTAATTAATTACATAACTTTTGGTTAACTTGTTATATGTTACATGTTATATTAATTTTTATTTTGTCATATATGATCGTCAAATATCACGTCCTCAAGTATCGATACTAATTCACCAGTCACCCTGTATATGCTTACCAAAGGAAATACTCCAATGACTGGCACAAAATTACTTTCCGAATGTTTATAGAAAATAGATCCATTTTTTTTTAAATTTTGCTCAAATTATTTAGCTTGCCTCTAATTTGAAACAATTTTTCGCCCCTTCTTTAAGATCAAAGTACAAAGTTGTGATTTTTAATAAATGTTTAAGTCTGATTTCCGCCATATGAAGTGACAGAATTGTAATATGACTCGAAAATAAGTTATATTACATGTTTCGATGTTTATTAAAGCGTATGACCATTAAATAGAAAACATAATAGTGTACTTTTTGAAAGTTTTCAGCCATAAGTTCATTTTAATTCATAAATGGGAAAGCCAGATAGGAGTATACATTTTAAAATGTTATTAAAAATATAAATTAAATAATTACCTTGAATAGTCTTTGTGGACCAGATAAAATGCCATATTCTTTATTGTTTAAGCATGGAGAGACAATGATATAATAAGTTTCACATATTTTTTTTTATAGACCAATGGAATTCAAATAGTGTATATTCACCCATATATCATTAATTAATTTCTTAGTCTAATCTCAAAACTAACACTTATTGACTTCCTGGTACTTGACAACGCCATCTGCTGTTGTGTCGTTAAAGCAATTAGTACAAGCAAATAGCAAAAAGTATTACTATTCAGCGATAGATGTCAGGAAGAGTCATATTTTAAACGATTCCTTTTGTATATATTTATTTAATAAAATAACATTTTCTAAACATAATTCCTAGCTAGATTGATTCCCTACATACTAAATTTCATGAAAATCGTTGGAGCGGATTCCAAGATTCCAATAAATATGTATATACAAGAATTGCTCATTTTAACATATAAGATTTTTTTGGTATTTTAATAGATTTTTGTATTTTGAACATATGTATATTTTATAGATTAAGGCTAACCATAGTGGTTCTTGGATAATATTGGAAGTCTGCAAGTCTGCAAAGATGTGTTTTTATCCAATAATCAGTATATCAAGTACCGTAGTGTCGTATATCCAGAGCGGTGTCTCAGCTAAGGCTCCCGCCTCTCCTCCGAACACGTACAGTCTGTCATGATGGGCGGTAGCTGTATGTTCCTGCAGGGCTGGCGGCGGCTCACCTCTAGCCTCCAAACGCTCCCACTTACTTGTTGCTGTAAATGAAATGGGTTTATACTTGTATATATTTAGTTATTATGCGCCCTTGTGTGACAATTCCAATCTATAATTTTGGTATTTATAGATTTTTTCTTACAAGCAAAGAAATTTAAATAAACCTAGTTTTCAGATATGATGCGCTATTTCTTATATTACAATTTACTTCTTGTCTTTAATGATGTTTTACAAACACGGTTATAGCAGTCTGAGTTTTTCCGGAGTATTAATGATAGCAATAGTAGTAGCATCAGTGAAATGTAATATAAATTGCGTTGTATATCCAACAAATATAGTTTTATGTCTACTTCCTTTGTGGAAAATTGTGATATTATAAGTCAGATGTTACCAAAACTTTAAATTAAGTTTCAATACTGATAAAAATCTTGCTCATCTCGTCAGGTGTCTAACAAAACGCGGCCAATCCTCTAGAGACACGAGGACGTTGTAAAGTGTAGTGTTATGTTAATTGATTGTTGAAGTCCTAAACTACTCTCGACCTAATTACTGAGGGTCCTACAGAACTGCTGGCTGGCTGAGAGCACTCCGCTCAGACGCTCGCGGCCATCACGAGCTTGAAGATAGGGGGGTGCAGGGTGCAGGGTGCAGGGACTAAAGCTTATATGTGAAACTTATTAAGGCTCACAATCAATCATATTTCAATATAAACAAAAAACAGTTAAATTAAATACATCTATAAATTCGCTAAGTATAATCTAATTAATTAGAAGTATCTTTTGATTTTAACCATACTGTATTAAAATGAATACCTAATGTTATCAATACTGTTTGCTTTTTAATGAGTTCATTATTGTTTAATTAATGGTTATTTATTTCCAATATCGGTTTACAAAATAACATTTTCATCTCGCTGACACTGGTGTTATGATAAATATTGTTTTATTTCTAAGTCCATCAGATTCAAGTAGGTAAAAAATATGTCCTACGTTATACATATAATATAAGTCGTCACATCGTTACCATTTAATTCTTTGTTATCGGATAGAATATGTGGATGTTGACGATACTGAATCTTTTTTATTATTTTATTATAATATTTTAAATATTTGTCAGAACATCCTATTAAAAGACACCAACTTAAAAAGAGAGCCAAGAAGATTAAATAATTCAGAGTCACGTTTAGAGAGGTGCCCTAATGTTGACTATTATGCGAACTTGTTGTTGGGCTGTTCCGTATCTTTCTTTCTGTAATATCCTTGCCTTTTAAAGTCGTGCACTTAGGTCTAAGAATTTCTTGGAAAGATTATATCTTATTAGCCTTACCTAGACAATATCTCCAGAAGTCTCTCAAGGGCACCGCGCCCCCCGCTCCTCTTCCTCCCAGTACATACACGTATCCTCCCAGCAGCGTGGCGGAGTGTTTCCCTCGAGCACAAGGCGCCACCGCCGCTGAACCCTCCACTGACACCCACATCACCTGGAATAATAACATCACGCATCTTCATACAAAATATATACAATAGTTTTATTCATTTAAATGATACTAATATTTATCGGATATAATACGCTTGCTTTGCGTTTACCGCGCGTGGGATCGCAAGTCCTAACCACTGTTGAAGCTCCTCTCCCTATAACGATGGACTCGGCACCCGCATGGTGAATCCATTGAAAGCTAAGAGGTTTCGTCTCTCTGTGAAAAACTACATACACGTCTCGTCTGTCCGTGATCACGGTTGCTGAAAAGTAAACGAAACGTCGGGAGTGTGTAGTTTTTTTTACAAAAATAAAGCACGTGTAGTATATCCGAAAAATATTAGTTTAATTTAAATATACACAAACCGCTGTTTCAAGTAATGAAGTAAAGGACAGCTACTATAATGGAACTGGGATTGCAACGATTATAACTTACTTACATAACATATATAAGGATAGACAGATGAAAACGTTTAAAGAGAAATTTATTTCAAAATAATGTATTGTTTGATATAAATGGATTTTAATGAAAAACCCTTTGGAGAAAATTTAAATTCGTTAATTATTTCTCTGTACGTAGTCTTCCAATTGCTTTGACATGTATTAAGGTAATTTAAAAGTCATAGTTAAGTGTATGATTTTATTTTACTCCCTATAGAGTAAGAGAGACGATCCGTTCATTAAAGGAGCAGTATGATAAACCCAAAGCTAGAAACTTAGCTTTTCATTCATATGTATTCTACATTACAGTATTAACGTAGGTTATTTAATGAGAAACGGAAAACGCTTTGTATGTAGTGTGTTGATGAAAACTTGGACTATGCATAAAGTGTTATACTAAGACTAAAGACCTCCGTAAACCAAATTTTATGACCCGAGACTCAACCTGTATAGCGTCAGAGGCGATGTTCTGTAACTTTTATCTCTCCCAAACAAAAACAAACGTCTTGAAAATGTTTTCCAAGGAATATTTAAAGAGCAATATCATCGTCCCCTTGTTTCTGCCCCTTGTTATTGTGGTAGTTCCGTATGTAGTAATCTGAATGAATCGCGCGTCCCTCGGGAGCCCTTCCCTCCTGAAGATGGCTCGTTCAATAGACTTGTTGTTGACAATTTGTAGTAACCTGACGTGCGGGGCTCACTGTAAATATTGATTGAATGTAACTATGTAAGGGTGTTCGTTGTTAACTCATCTGATTTATTACATGTTTTTTTACTAATGTACCTACTATTTTGTACTCTAACGTTTTATTATCATTTCATTTTCTCCTGTATGTATGTAGTTTTCTACATTTGTATTCTATATTTTAGCTAAATATACACTAATTTTACTCGGTTTTGTATATACAACAGTAGCAGGATAAATGACAAACAAATATAATAAATTTATATGAAAATCAAAGTCGTAATAAATATTAAAGATTACTCTTACTTTAATTAAAGTTACTCGTATAATTAACTTTTACAATAGGAAATAATAGGTATATGGTATATTGTACAATAACTGGACAACTATACTTATATAAATATTAATATAAACAATAATAGATATTATTTTATTTGATCTACTTTTCTTTATTAAAATATATAATTTTCTGTGTGCCTCCCATACATGATGCCGCGATAAGAAGTTCTTTGATTTATAAAATGTTCACTATTCTCGCTCAACATTTAAGTAATCTCTCAGACCTTATGATATTATTATAATAAATAATTATCATTTCATAAATATCAAGCATCATATATTCTATTACAGATAAATAGTCATTTTTATTACAACAGCACTTTGTAATATAACCACTGTTTTTACAAAAACAAACTAAAGTCTTCTAAATATTAAGTACTTTATGTCAACTTCTCTTAAATAAATAAATAATGAATCATTGCACAAAACCGCGTGCAAACGATGTACCCATTGATGAAATACATGTCGTGGAGTTAGGGGAGGGAGCAGGGTTGTGTTTACAGATGAGTGGCTTTTATTTGGAAGAAAACTAACTGCTAACAAGCTTTTAGACCCGACCATTGACAGTGTTAAATATAATGTATTAAGAAACAGGCTGTGTTAAAAATTATATATTATTGGCTTCTTGAAACTTAATTAATTAGATAATAAATAAATATATTTCAGTTGTTATAACTACGAAAGATAATTAAGACGATTTAGTATAGATCTTTCCAGTTGTTTCCCGTGATAATTATGCAACTGCAGATGTCGGTAGGTATGTCATTTTATTTATATCGAATATATTATTAGATATTGTGTAGCTATTCTTAAAATGAACTGTGTTATAGTACAAATAAAAATATACATTTTGAAAGAAGAGGAACAATACGGATGCCTCGAGCACTGCGGACTTTTACTGCCATAGCTGACGGCTTCTTGTGTTTTGATAAACATATGTTTTTAGAAAACAAACGACGAATTCTTCTTTATTACAATTATTTTACAAGATTTAATTTATTTTTGATTTCGATAAACATTCACGTATAATATAATCAAAGGCAGAATAAAAGATTTAAATTATTTATTTATTAACGAACCGAGACATTTGTTAATATTTAATTTAATATAGCGTTGATTAAGTTATTTTGTTATCTGGGACAATTTATAAGTCACGTTTGTCTAGTTAGGTATATTTTGTCATGTTTTGACCGAGAGCCGTTTAATTTGTACACTCTGGTCGTATAGGGGAGGGAATTAAGCCAGACGGAGGGAGGCGATCAACCCGCTGACAAAGGAGCTCTTAATTGAGCACTAACTCACTGATTACAACATTTTAACGAGACCCGTTGTTAGTTATATTGATAGAATATTTACCACTAAGATCGAATTAACAACTTTATAGATGATTGTAAATGAATACTCGCAAAAGTTTTAGAATTCAATATAGTCGATTTTATCTAAAACATGAAAAGAAAATTGATAATGAGATCTAACTTTCGCGAGTATTTATTTAAAATAAAATTTATATTTAATAAATTAAAATTATATAAATGGATGTAGACGTATTTATTTCTATGAAAACTATGTTGTGGTTATAAACTGATGTCAAAAAATGTGCATTTAATTTGTATTTATTATACAAGATTTTAATAATAATAGTTGAAGAATTGCATCTATTATCCATATTCATGGAACTTAACATGATATTGTCAAAGGAAACCTTATAAAATGTATTCGAAAAAACACATATTTCTCAGCCACCCACTATCATTTCGTATCAAAGGTACATACACGAACACTTTCAATTCCTTTGAAGCCACTAGTTTTTGTTCCTTCTCTCATTCCTAACGTGACATCTCCACTCATTTCCCTCTTTACAGCATCTTTATGCTCGTACAGCTCTCAACTCGAGTTTATAATAAGAGTGGAAAAATAGTGGCACTCTAACTATTTTACCTTTTAGTTGTTTTGTATTGTTAGCAAAGAAATTGCAAGCCTAATCCCTACTAATTCCTACTAATATTATAAATGCGTAAGTAACTCTGTCTGTCTGTCTGTTACGCTTTTACGCCTAAACCACTGAACTGATTTTAATGAATTTTGGCACAGAGATAGAGTTGACCTTGATAAAGAACATAGAATAATTTTTATCCCAGAGTTTTGAATGTTTCCTCTTGGAAATGCGATATTTTTTTTTTTTTTTTTTTTTCTACGAGGGGAATCTTTTAAAGACTTCCTGCCGCGGGGGAAACGCGACAGGGGCATGTGGGATTTCCACCCACTAAACCACCTCGACGTTCTCTGCGCTGTGCGTAGACTAGTGAGCGGGAACGGCAAGCCATACTTCCGCTCACTACGCACGAGTCCCGAAAGGGACTCCGCCATCGGCAGGGGTATCAGTGGCTGACCACACCACCCCTCCGACTCAAGAGCAGCGTGCCGGGAACGCCAAACACGCCGCTCTTCCTCTAGCCTATGTTACCCGGACGCCGGTTCCCCACCGACGCCCGGAGGCTTCCTCACTGGGGAGGCAGGTCGCGAGCATAAGCCCGCTGCCTTCGACCCAGCCTTCGTCGGCGCAGCGGCGCCGAGGAGGGGTCGTCTTCCCTCACTCGTTCAGCAGCCTCCTTCTGCAAGATGACTCTCTCGCTGAAGTCGGCCACCGCCTGCCATGCCCTCTCGCTGCCGACCATGGCCTGGACCACTGCCGGCAACGAAAGGTCTGCGCCAACCACGCGGATGAGTTGGCTCCGCTCGGATATCCACGCTGGACATTCCATCAGTGTGTGGTCAGCGGTGTCTTCCACGCGACTGCAGTGGTGTTGGAAATGCGATATAAACGAACTCCACGCGGGCGAAGCTTCGGGTGGAAAGCTAGTATTTTATAATACATTGACCGTTGTATAAGTATTAGGTAATTTTGCTGTCTTTTTTTAGAACACGTAGTTAGAAATATTGCTCTTTTTATTACAGTAAAAAATTAAATAAAATAACTTAGTTTACTCTTTATTCTATCATCTATCTGTTCGTTGTAGTAAAATCTATCTGTTCAAATTAGTCAAAACAAATTTAGTTAGTTAAAACAAATAAAGGCAGTATATGTTCCGTAAACACATGAATGTAGTAGTAGGTGGTTATTCTAATAAAGTCACACCGATTGTATTTACGTGAATATTCTTAAATGTTTCATATTTAAACGACGGCGCGGCGTGGTAATTATTACGGTAAGAGAGGTTGGTGAAGGGTGTTATAATGGGTGATTTGGAGGGGAATAGGATTGTAGGATTGGATTATTGCCATTATAATGACTTTTGATATTGCTATCTGTTTTATGCAAATAACAGATTATTTGACTATTGCTTTATAAAAAATTCTACCAGTACGATTTCTGAGAAGTGCTACTTAAATGTGTTTAAATATACGTTTTACTCAGCCGTGGCAAATTTACTGGTCTTCATAATTTTCGAGCTGTATCAGAGCTTGTTGCCTCCATCCAAGTCTTAGAGAGAGTATGCCACGGTACTCTACTCTCTTATCACTATCACCTCTATGCCAGGTCTGAGATTCAGAGAATTCGTACAATATCGATATCATTTAGGTTTGATGTAAATTACTAGAGACTGAAGAAACTTTACTTGACACCATCGTTCTTAATATGTATATAAACGAATGAATAACTACGAATAAATGACATTTAAAATATTTATAAAACGTTGAAAGAAGTGAAAAATTAAAATCGATCAACATTTCCCCGTTACCATAAGTTGACTAAGGTTCAGCGTTTCAAGCCCTTTTTTAATAGAAAATGAAGTGTACGAGGGAAAGACAATCGTGATGACAGCGGTATAGAGCTTAAAAATGAATAACCAACATTCTCAGGTACAAAGTTTTTTTTAAGGGAAAGTAGACTCTATTGTAAGTGCGTAGAGTATGTTAGAGTAATAGTTTGTCTGCGGCCGGGCACGAGGGTTGAACGACCCTCCATTTTCGCGTTAGTTCACTGTTACACAACTGTGACCGTCCGACGAGCACTCGGGGAATATACGAGCCTTGTAGTGAGGAGAGGAGAGGTACAACAAACACGAGCTAGGACATATGATATGGAGACCGGGGATCCGTCATCAATGATGATGGACGCCGCTGATACGACTCATAAACAACGACAGAACGCTCTTCCTAATACTGATATTAGATAATGTTTATTTTACTCGCTTATTATGTGCGGAACCAAAAATAAATACTGAAATAATACCTGACCTGAGCTGTAAGGAAATTAAAAACTTGTAAGAGTTTTAACTCTTTAACTATGGTCGTTTGAAGACGTTTTTAATATCGTTTGGTTACACGCGAGAAACAAGTGGAATACTCGAACAAATGCATATGTACTGTGCATAGTAGCTAGTATAAAAAATTATTTATCCTCATCTCATTATATGTTCGTTATGAATACACTAATTAATTCGAGCTCCGGTACCCAACACGTGTAATGTGTATACAGTACAGCGGTAGTGAAGCCCGTCGAGTGCAGCCAGCCTCCCGTCTGAACATTTAATTTACCTTCACAAACGACGCCAGATGAAACGCAGAGGGAGGCGGGGAGGCTGGGGTGAGTTGGGGAGTTGAAATATATTAACGTTCGATCCGGCCGCCTCTCCCCGGTTTAAATTTCATTGCTACGCTCTTATTAATGCAGCCTGCGTTCTGTCTACAACATCTACACTACTCCAGGCTTGTACAATAACTCATCCACGTTATCTTATAATTAAAAATGTTTAAGTTATACCGAACTTATACTAATAATTCTTGGCATCTGGACCAATGATGATCTATCGATAGTTTTTATATAAAATGACAGAATGTTGTGTAACCATCCCGTAAGAAACCAAAGTTTACTGGATTTATTCCAACAAAAATACGTTATTGGTCTAATGAACTGATATATTGGAAAGAATACAACGTTTGCAAAAAGAAACGGGCTAATTATATAAGTTATATTAAAAGGTATGGCGACAATAAGTTGTGTAAGCAGTACGCGGGCTCTCAATCACTTGTGGACCCAGGTCGGGCGCCACTCATCCCGACTACTTATTACTGCTAACCCGATCGCCTCCCCCGGGTATGATTACTTCCTTATGATAACATGCATTGCATTAGTTCAATATGAACAGCTAGTAATCACATTAGGTCCATAGCGTGTACCAGTAAATTAACATTAATTTAATGTTTAAAACAAAGATTAGGTTCTCTTTTAATTCGTAAGAATAATCAACGCGAAAAATTTTACAGACAAAGGAAAATAAATGTTTCATTATACTATGATTCTTAAATTGTAATTAGATGCCGTTTTTCTCTCTAATGTGATTAAATTTAATGTAAAAAAACTAACGTTCGATTAAGTGTACATAAACATAACAAATAACTCACCGGTCCCGCAGCATCCCGTCTCATCCAACAAACGTATACTAATATATATTATAAAGTCTTCTTATATAATAAAAATTAAACAATATATAATCACTCGTATTTTACTGATGTATTTGTTTTATAATATTCTGACAGCATGGTTGCCACACGTATACGGACGTGTGTTCTAAGCGGCGGTCCGCGGCGCACTACTGCCAGCCGCGAGCCGACACTCGCCCGGACCGAATACAAGCTGAGGGGTTTCGTTCTGAAATCTCATTTCAAGATACGTGATGTAATGTTTTCCATTGACGTCCGAGGCTATACTTTATATTTTGAGAGATTGCCTTACGTGAATAGATAAAAAACTTCAATGATAACTATTTACATTTTAATAATCATTTGGAATACTTAAGCCGAAAGATCTTAAAGTATGATATAAGTATTTTATTGTGTTATAATTTTGTTATAATTTTATAATGTTTAAGTTTCGTGACGTAATAAATAACCCACCTCCTTGCGTGAAACAAAGGTCTGTGCGGTCACTGAACTATAAGCCGCTGAGACAGATTAGCGTTAACATCAAGAACATATTATATGTATATAAGTTCATTAAGTCAAGGTCAGGTATAAATATATAGGATTACAATAATACCTATTACATTATAAATTGGATTAATTTTAAATATAAGTTTGGAAAGACACCCGTATTTCCTTGGACCATTTTCATGTTACTGTTAAATAATTCTGTAAAATAATTATGTCTGTATAATTATGTCTATTTTCGTTAATATTATTCAAATGTCAAAACTGGGATTTTAATTTCTAAACGCACGTCGATCGATACAGCATGAAAGCGGGGAAAGCGCGGGAAGTCGGCGAAGGGCGCCATTTTGAAAATACATACGTTGTCATGGCAACGGCGGGTTTGTTTATAACATATACTACCGACCAAGTTTGACTGAAATAGTATAACTAGTAATAAAAATATATAATAGTTATAATAACCGAAATACATAGTTTGTTATTAAATTAAAAGATAAACGTAACATATGTGTTTACGGACCCACAAAAAATATTTGATTGCGACTAAAATTTTAGCAAAATTAGAAATTGCTTTTTATTAATATTGTGTCCTAATAAACACGTGATTTTGAAATTCGTTGAAGTTATTTTTCATAAAAAAAAACCTGCAAGTGCTGGGGACGACAGAAGATTATTTCGCATAGAGAATGAACAGAGTTGATGTAACTGATACGAATATAAATTAATAAACGCAAATGTAGAAAGTGCACTGATTAGTTGAAACTCTTTTTAAAAAATATATACAAACGACGCATACATTAAATATTTATTTCTGCAGCTGATCTCCTCATATCTAATAATAAAATTTAGGTTTATCAGTTTATTAATTAGTAGATTTTATTTTTAATTTAATGTCATACTTTTTTAGAATTCGTTTGATCTAGGGACGTTTAAAAACAAATGCCATGCTTAACATTCTTTAAAGTAGCGATATTTTTACTACGTAGGTAACCAAAAAAAATATTCATTAAGTACATAAATTGTGTGTTCAAGTAACTTTTTAACGATATATGAGGAAGGCTTGTTTAAGAACCGGAAGTATTCTGTTTTGATAACTGAGGCATATGTACATAAATATATAAATAGCTGGAGAGTTAAAATCTTTCATAATATAACAACATCGCTGAGAAAAAACTTACAAACTCGATTATAGTCACAAAAATATCATACTTATTATAACAAAAAACAACGAAATAAAAATTGTATAAGTAAATGTAAAATATTTTTTAAAAATGTCTACGTTACCAAATACAGGTAGAACCCAAAAATTGTTCTGTGATGTCGGTCAACAAATAAACGTTTATATTAAAATTTCTCATCACAATACGTCGGTGGATCACTCGCTCGTTAATTTGGGTCAGGAAGGGTTGTCGGTTGAGGGCCGGTTTATTTTTGGCCCTCACCTGTATACGATGTAAAAAGTAAACGAAATTTTATATTTTAGAATTTAAAACGACTTCAATCGTGATATTTTCACTTGTATTTTAAATTTATATATCTTAAAAATCACATTTTTAAACGATTACAGACGGTAAATGTATAATAATACTACGTAATATATATTATACATGTATATACAGGGTGACTGGTGAATTACTATCAATATTTAAGGAGCATACTCGGTACATGATTCTCATTCGAATTATGTAAAAAAAATAGGTACTTAATTTTTGACCAAATTTCCGTATAAATAAATAAAGTGTGTACACGTTCCAAGTGTTCCGAGTGTGGACGCGTGCGGCGGCGTGCTGATACAACACCACGCCGCCGCACGCGTATGTGTGTGTGTGTGTGTGTGTGTGTATACCTAATCTGTAGGGTGTTCATACGATGCGTAATTAATTACATAACTTTTGGTTAACTTTACTTAGAAGTTTATTAATATTTATGTTATATTAATTTTTATTTTGTCATATATGATCGTCAAATATCACGTCCTCAAGTATCGATAGTAATTCACCAGTCACCCTGTATATACATTAAACATAATATAGTCGACTTTAGTTCCTATACTTTACGTGTGAAATGAACGTAATATACTTAATAAGAAATACATATATATTTTAAACAAATAAAACATATAATTATTACCCTTAGTATACAGCCTTATTAAACTAACACATAACTATATGTACGTACGTATGTATATATAGTTATGCACATTCATCGTGTATAGTATTGTATTCCTTTGATACGACTCAGTGAACCGTGAACTGTGATGTTTGGACACATGTAGGTTGTAATGAACTGCATATGTAGGCTCTACACGTGACACTGTGGACCACTACACCCTTAGGATACAAGGATAATAGTTAAAATGTTAGTTTTGTAAAGAGGTGAGTTCCAAAACACTATGTTGTTTGATCTTATTACAAATATATAACATTTACAACTGTAACAAAGAGGTCTTTAGATTATTGCATTTTTTTTAAGCAATTGGAATAATGATATGAGTAATTCAACTAATTTATACACACACACACACGTGCCTAAACACACACACACACACACACCTACACACTGTATATATTTCGTTCATAATCATTTGAGTATAATCAAATCTCATCGTGTTGCAGAATCTAACTAGACAATACGTGTGAATTAAATAAAAGTTGGAAAACCGGAAGAGATCAAACAAAAGCACTTCCGTGCTTAGAAGTACCTGACACACACCGTATATTTAATAAATATACATTGGGTCAAGATCACAATATATATTGGGTCAAAAGGACAAACGAATATTCATGTTTTACAAATTTATATTCATGTATTGAAGAAAATATTAAGTTCATTTCCAGATATACCAAAATGTCTAATAATTATCGTGAATGAAATCTTATACAAAACAACTTTTTCTTATGTGAAATTAATTTATGAAATATTTATTTTTCTTCCATGTTTCTTCCAAACGGGTATTTAAAGACATATTTACATCTTCCAATTTTATAAATTATGATGGCTTTTAATGTGTTTGATTTTGAATTTTATAGGTTTTGATAGATGTACATGAATATCAATACGCAGGATACCACGGATTTTTGTATAAATTACAATATTGTAAGTACAATTTGATTCAACTATTGAATGCCATGATAACAATAGAATCAGTTTGATTTTTGCTGTTTCTGTTTATTCAAAAAATTACCTGATTTAGATATCCAAAAAATATATTTGTTCACCTATTTTCTTTTATTGGCAGTTATTTCTATTGATTAACTGTTTTTTACCTTATTCCATCCAAATAATGTTATCGCAAACAGGAATTCACTTTGCAATCATCTGTGCATGAGACTGCTGTCACTGTCATTTTCAATGTCAACTCACAGACAACTGTCAGTAGTCCATTATCGTCAAAAGGAAATCTGAATTTTCAATAAGAAAAATTCGTCGGTGACATTCCTATGTTTTGTAAATTCACAATAATCACTAGTTTTGATAAAAAATCAAACATTCCGTCCCCCGCACATATTTTTGTCCGTCCGCACGCGTTTAGTGACACATTAATAGCTATGAGGTAAGATTTATTAAATTTTTTGGTCATACGCCAGTCGGCAAACAAGTTGGGCGTAGGAAGAGTGAAGTTGGACTAATGATCTAAGGAAAAAATAATGGTTAACGGTTGCAGATAATAAGTGTTTATGAGCGTGGTGCGCTCAAATAAGTATAGTGAGGACCAGTTGAGACACAATGACGCGTCCCGGCCCTCCCAGCGAAAACCTTCCCACTGTGAGTTTATTATTATATTATTATTTACATTAATTAATGTTCATCAACAAATAATTGTTATTATAATTTATTTTATTTTGTGTGTTTTCGTGTAGTTGCTTTTATGATTTTATTAAAAACACTAAGATATATTAGAACATTAATTGCATAATCGTTATTAATAAAAATATTATAAAAAATGCTTCAATAATTTATATGTGTTGTTTTGCTTGTGGCTTTCAGGTTTGATTTTCAATGTAAAGTGAACCATGGTGTCAATATTCAAAGACTGTGATGCTGTATGTTTATATTGTTTGGCTCATGTTCATGTGTTGTGTGTACTGTGTTCAAACCTTACCTTGTGTAGCATGATTGTTGTATGTGCTGGTTCCAAAACCCTTGTAGCAGTTATGAGATCCTTATAAATGATTGTTCACTTAAATAGTATATCAAATAATATATATATCATTTAAATACACATAAAAACCTTTGTAATATGTAAATATTATCACTATACCATTATCAGACTAGCAACAAATATTTGTTTCCCATTTTGAATTCAGTCTGTACAACTACTTTTGTTCTTGTTACAACTATCTCTGGAGTATCAATAAAATTTTTGGTTTGTTTTAAAAACAATAGTTTTATTTCAAGCATTTATTGTGTGTTATATTTGATATAAAATTCATATTTAAATGGGTCAAGGTCGGAGGAAGAGGAAGGATGCTAAAGTTATATTTCTTATCTAAGAGTTTTCAACACTTTGCTGACTAATTTGTGTCATTTCTGAAGTGACTTGTCCGTGCAGTAAATGTGCTGGCTTTGTTTGCCAATGACTATCAATGAACTTTGGGTTTTCAAAATAAATTTAATTTTCGTCTTCCATCACTATTCAGTGTTGAGACGATTTTCCGATCATTTTCATTTACCATTCATACATACAAAATTGACATTGACAATATTTATGATTTTCTGTTTGACTCCTTTGATATGACATCCATCCATTGAATTTTTGTTCTGTAAGGTTGTTGTTGAACATTGTTTGTCATGTACTTTAAACCCACCAAAAGATTTATACGAGGAAATCTTGGCAGCAACATCAACCCTTTTATGTATGACAACTTTGTAATCTCCTTACCCTATCATTGTGTAATGCCTCAAAACACCATGTTATCCAAGTACTAGCACTTTAAAACATTCTTTAGTTTTTCATCACCTTCTTCATTGATCTCTCGTGTTTTTCCAGGTGAAGCTAGTAGTGGTGGGTGACGGTGGTGTTGGTAAGAGCGCCATCACCATACAGTTCTTTCAGAAGCTCTTCGTCACCGACTATGATCCTACCATAGAAGACTCCTACATACAACACACTGAGGTCGACGGACAGTGGTGTATACTTGATGGTAAATAACATTATTTATATTATACTGAACATTATAAGACTTATATAAGTGTTATGTTTTAGTTATATATACTCAGTATTGTTAAAATAATAATACCACATCAAGTGCAATGTAGGTATAGTTCATTTCAATAGAAATTGGCAATCTTGTAAACAAACATGATCAGCTGATATTGACAGAGACTTGTCTATGTCCCTAGTGATGGGAGTACTCTACAAGATACTTTAATATTAATTAATTATTAGGTTAAAGTATTAATTTAAAAAGTTTCTTCAATTTGTTTAAATTAAGTATTTATTAGTGACCTTTTTTAATAAGTTTAGAAATGCAGAATGCAAACTACAACACAACAGAGTTGTTTGCATCCAAATAGCACTAAAAATCTTTGGTTCCTTGAGAAACCAGAACCCCAAAAGACCATGCCATCAAGGTCAATAAGTATGACGAGACCACTAACGATTTAAAAAATGTTTAATTTGTACTTTTTAGCGCTACCTATGTTCCGTCTGCTAAATACCAGAAAATAATGCAATTTTGATTGATAGACTGATTTTCATCACAGCCTGTTGAATACACTATAGTGTTTGGTATAATCAAGTTTTTTTAATATATGTGAGTTGATTAAAGTTTAAATAATAATGATTATAAATATCTTTTAGTCAGTGTCAGTTGCTTTGTTTACAAGATTGCAAATTTCTATTGAAATGGAGTATAGATCACTTTATTATATTAGTAGCTGTCATTCAGTCTGCTACTTAGCGAAATACATATATGATTAATTTAATATAGTTTTATTGAATACTACAATAAGGAAAGATAATTTGATACAAAATTGCTAATCGTTATTATAAAGTAACTAGCTTTCCGTCCGCAGCTTCGCCCGCGTGGAGTTCGGTTATATCTCGTTTCCAAGAGAACCTTTCAAAAGTATGGGATAAAAACTATCCTATGTTTTTTCTCTAGGTCAACTCTATGTCTGTACCAAATTTCATTAAAATCAGTTCAGTAGTTTAGGCGTGAAAGCGTAACAGACAGACAGACAGAGTTACTTTCGCATTTATAATATTAGTAGGGATAATGGTATAGGTGTAGTGTTCATTATATTAAATCTCATTCCAGTACTGGACACGGCCGGCCAGGAGGAGTTCAGCGCCATGAGGGAGCAGTACATGAGGAAGGGGGACGGCTTCCTGCTGGTGTACTCCGTCACCGACCAGCAGAGCTTCCAGAACATACGACACTTCCACACGCAGATACTCAGAGTCAAGGACAGGTCAGCCAGCTCATACACACACACACACAGATAGACTAATCATGGTAGTTTCACTAGCTCTCATTGATATATTATTAGGAGAAGGTTTAAGCATTAACCACCACTCTTGCTCAAGACGGGTTGGCAATTTCAAACTTATAATTGTTTCACGATGTTTTCCTTTATCGTCTATCAGTGGTGTGTAAATACTCTTAGAAGTACATATACTCGGGAAAATCACATTGGTACTTGTCAGGTTTCGAATCCGCGCCCTCGTGCGTGACAGGTGGACCTTTAACCACTAAGCCACCACGGCCTCTCACTGTTATAAGCTTGTAGTAATACATGTGTGTGTCGTATTCTTCAGAGAGACGTACCCCATGTTAGTAGCGGCCAACAAGGTGGACCTGGTGCACGCGCGGGCCGTGAGCGAGGAGGCGGGCCGGGAGCTGGCCCGCACGCTCGGGGCGCCCTACATAGAGACCTCCGCCAAGGAGCCGCCGCTCAACGTGGACCGGGCCTTCCATGAGGTGATGTACTACACAGACGATCCAACATACTGTACATGTAGGAGTAATTTATTGATCAGACATCGACTGTCTGGAATGTTATTACTTATTACATATTTATTGGTTTAGAGTTTAGACCGACACGTTCTCAATTGAGTATGGTGTATAGCGGCGTTTGATTTAAGCTGAGCTTTGCATTTGTGTGAGTGCACACGTATAGTGTAGGTGTGATGTAAAATTTTTGAATGCAACTTTTTTTCTAGTTTTGAACAGGTTTATTCTGCTTTTACGCCGCCCCGCACCTTCCCCTTCACCCTTTGTACTAGTAGCAACGTCAAATGTTGAAAACGCAATGTGAATTGAAGAAAAAATTGTATTGTTTTTCAAAATTTTTATTACTTATTAAGTATTTTCATAATATTTCCATTTGGCTTTTTACAAGTTATGCTTATTTTATATTTAATCTATTATAGATCTTGCACTTATGTTATGTGTCAATTTAAAATATAATAAAATGGAATTCTAAAAGTTTTTTGTCTGACTCTACTTTTGCTTTCACTCACACAAATGCAAAGCTCAGCTTAAGTCTAACGGACTATACCTAATTATAAATGGAACACTGTACACTCAACAGCTCTGTCGCTTGTATTAAAGACCAAAGTAGTTGTAAGACTAACATCTGACATGTTTGTTTAATAAGTATTTTATTAATATATATATGTACATCGTCCACAGCTGGTTCGTATAATCCGCAACCATCCTCAGCGGGAGGAGAAGAGAGTCCGCGGGACCAAGTGCGGCCAGTGCTCGCTGCTGTGAGGCGCTCACACACACAAACACACATATACACTCACACACACACACACACAACCAGTCGACCAGCCGAGAGGGGGGAGGGGGGGGGGCTCCACCTACACTACAGACTGATGACGTTTCTCTTCAACGCGAACAAGGATCAAGCTCGGCGCCCACATACAGTCTATAGTCTATACTCTATAGTGTTACCAACATTCAAGTTACTGTTGTAGTAGTTTCTGAGTCAGGTTGTAGTTTCGGTCTCGTCAGTCCATCGGGTCTGGTCGAGCCTCGTCGGAACACGTCGTATTTGGTAGGGTTCCGACGAATGTAGGACATACAAAAATATAAGTAAGACAGTCGAGGTGCACAATAAATAATATACAAGTGATAATAGATGGTTTACAAGAGATGTTATATACACCGTACACAGAACAGAATATATTTTATAAGAGTTTAGTGATTGTTAATGTTGATACAGAGCTGGGCAGGCGACGGTCGGATACAGAAGTGAGAGGTTGTAGGGTTACTGTTGGTGTTAAATGTTGATGTCTACAAGGAAACGGAAACTAGGTATAGGACCTTAGGAGTAGGTTACGATAAATGTGATCACTACATGTACCAAAGACCAAAACGATTAATATTTATATAGAACCAGTTGATTATTTATTTATTTATTTGTTCCCGGTTGTTGTTTAATATTCTCCGTCTTCCTGGGAATGTTTATTTAGCTTCTTCAACATCAGAACACCTCCTGTATGTTATAATTACGTTATTAGATCTATTGAATGTTAATTCTAAGAGATATTTACGAATTCGTATTAAATTGTATAACAATGTATGTAAAAACCCCATAGTGTTAGTGTTAAGGTAAGTTCGACCTAATGCTATCGTAATAAGGTTATTTGTCGGAGTGCTGGCGATCGTTTTGTTACAATATATTTTTATACTCGTCGATATACAACCGACAGACGAAATACGGAAAGAGAGACGAACACACAACTATATATATGTTAAGAAAAATAGATTATTATTTATTGAAAGTAAATATTAATGATATAAGACAGCATTCTATAACGACGGATCAGGTCGAAGTCATTCTTTCCTTATTTCCCTCGTGTAGTTTTCACCGACTTCCTCTAGGGAAGGATTCATTTCACATTATATATTTCATATTCATATACAATTGAATAACTCTGCTAACAATCTGTTGACATATAAAGCTGCTTCAAACTTCATTACGGAAATCCTTCTCTAACATTATCTGCCAGCGGTCGAGGTCTGTTTTGTTTGTAATCATTCAATAGTGTTCTCGTAGCATCATTATATTTTTATAAACAAAGAAACAAGGATTTTATATGAATACGTTAATAATATTGAGTCAGCAATATGTGAGTGTGGACCCGGCGGGCTCGGGACGGACTGCTCCCGGGATGTCTTATATATACACACACACACATACATACACACATGTGTGTGTGTGTGTGAAGCGAGCTGTCCCGGGGACGGGCGGTTCTGAGGTCGCTGGTGCTTCAAGACTCGAACCAAGAAAGGCTGATATTGCATCATAACCAAAGTAGCTAGCTTAGGACCGGCCGGTTTTGACCTCTGGCGGTCACTGGGGATTGAAGTATAAGGAATCACTACTTCAACGCTCACTTCACTTCACTTCACTTCACTCCCCAGTGATCCAGACGTCCACACCGCCCTATATAATAAGATGTAGATGAATTTGTTCGTGTAACGACAAGGAATTGAAAGTACGTTAAGTGTTCCAGTTAGTTAAGTTATATGATGTAGGTTAAGCGACAGGTAACTCATTATTATATTGATGACGTGGAGTTGACGAAGGAGTGGGGGGAGGGGGGCGTGTCTGGACATGTCGCGTTACAGATAGATGGACATTGTATACTTGCAAAGATTCATAAAATGTAATTGACTATATTTGTACCAGAACCTAATATTATTTTTCTTTTTATAAACAATCAATGTATCTGTTACTGTATTAATTTCTATATGTAAACATTTCATTTGTCTGAAGCCGAAGTTATTATTCGCTCGCGTGACTAATTGTTGGATTAAAATGTCTCCACTTGAGTGACTTATATAAATTTGTTTTTGTGTGATTATTGTTTCATATGTTTAATCGAACGAACATTCATTGACTGGAAGTCTAATAGGAACAAGTGTATCGGAAAATTATTGTAAATTACTAAGGGAATGATTGTCATTTATTTTAAGGGGTGAAGAAAGGTGTTTTATAGTGGACATGTTTATTAAATATTATGTTTAACATTCCGTTTAACGACAGACACGTCTCCTGTAGCGACCAGCTCGAACATCTCATGTTGTTGGGGTCCGGAGGGGGGGGGGGGGGGTCCGGACCGAGCTGTAGGTACCTCGCATACGGCACATTTAATAAATGAATTATATCGTGTTACATTTGGTTTCTTTTATTTCAAAACGTCATCATGTTAAACCCTCATCATCTTTCATGTTTTATTATGAAAAATAAAGTCGTTTTTAGTACCAAGGCGTAGATTTTAAAGATAGTGACATCTTTAGTAAGTTCCATAATACTCAAAAATAAAACTTTCTTTTCTAAAGATCCTTGTATTTCTTGCAAGGTCCTTGGTCTTCAACAGTTTTTATAAAAATATGTACAATATTTGATGACAGCCAAAAGTTATTTTTATATTGCACCCGTCATCAGTGCTGATAGCGGCGATTATCATATATGACAATTTTTAATTTTCAATGGACTCTAATTCTACTCACAATATTTATACTCGATTTGACACGTTATAACACGTCATACTGTTAACAGATGGCGCTGACTGCTAGTTAATCTTATGACATAGTTTACATAATAAAATATGACTTAAGCTACCAGACCGTATGACGGCTTTTCAAATAGCTTAATAAACACGATTGTTTTATATTAACAATATGAATGAAAAATTATTTAAAGTTTGAATTATGTAAAGCTTTGTATAATTTAAAATAATTTGATACGTTCAGCTTAAGTACCTGAATAAATTCCAGTTCTTATTTTTTATAACCGCGTCTGATGAATATATTACAAAACTAGATTTTAATCCCATTATATCTACCACTTTTGTTGGAACTTCGCCATCAATGTATGTAGATCCATTTATTTAATTTACATTGAATATCTCATTATCAAAACCCTTTGAATATTTAATAGACACAGTGTCGACCTGATGTTTTCTTTGATAGCCGATAAGACTACATAAATTGACTTAATGAGATCTAAGACTTTCGCGAGCATTCATTTAAATTAAACTAATATTTTCGGATTAAGAATTCACATCTCATCCGCCCGTGACCACGGTTGAGGCAAAGTAACCGAAATGGTGGGAGTATCTTCATTGTTCGCCTAGTGACAAATTTATATCGTTGAGTTGTCGGTCATAGTTTTAATCTAGAAAGATGATAATTTCCACAACTTCTTATAAATTAATTATTCATCGTTCATCTACTTGTAGGTATAATGTCATTAAATCTCTGGTAGGTTGCAAACTGGAACTTTTGTCATATAGTATTTTCCGTTTTATTACTCTATACGCTACATTATTACCTATAAAAACTTATGAAAGCCGGTAATAAAACTACGTTTCCAAAACTTTTTCACCTAACTAATGTTATTAAACTTGTTATTCATTGCGAGATTATAAGAATTTTAACAAAAGTAATTGGTTCCATCTACATAGTCAGAGGTAAATTTAGTTGATTACACATTAATATATCCAGAAAATTATAAAAAATGAGCATCCTCAAGTAAAGATATAGACGTAGATCTAGATTAAACAGCTTACATAAGAAAACCTTGTCAAGGTTCAAGTTTTTTAAAGGCAGGTTTCTGATGTCAAGAGATTTTTAAGGATTTTTCGTTGATAATGTTAGTTAGCTACAGCTGTTAGCCCTGTGACATAGATATCGTCACCAGGAGAGTTTTTAAAGATGTCATTTAAAACAATATTTCCAGCTGAAAGTTATATGTACTAACTACTAAACCTAATTCAAAAATATAGGTTGAGAGACGGAGTGTTACTGCGAAAATATTTAAAGGGAACAAACAATAGACATTACGTTATTTATATGTTATAATTTTATGACTTCATAGTTAAAAAAACAAGTCTTGTTAAAAATGTTACTGTGAAAAGTTCCAATATTCACAATAAAACAGTTCATCAAACGACGAAAGTGTTATAAAGTTACATTGATTTACTTTGAGCCAGAAGTTTAAGTTTTTCAATGGAAGTATTTTATTTACCTAATAACATGTTTGGATACTAAACAATTCGACTGATTGACTTCCTATGTCGTGTAAACTTATTTTATTTGTCATAATTTTTATGACTATTTACTATACTATATTATTTACCATACTTCATTAATTAACAAACAAAACTATACCAAATTAATGAAACATCGTCGTGTAAGTAGTGATGATGGCCGCAGGATAACATTTCCTATAGAAGTAGGACAATATTATGCCAGATATATGTTTATGGTATACTAAACTGTATGCTTAAGTCAAGTTTTCCTTATACACTACATACGAATTGTTTGCCGTTTCTCATAATATGATAATCTTCGTTAATACTGAATGCTCCATAATGTGGGGTGTTTTATTAAAGAAAAACAGCTATGCGTCTGCAGTGTTATCTAAATTTCTTGTCAGTAGAAATATTATAACAAGTTATCAGATGTTTTAAAAACAATATGTATATAAATAAATTTTGCGGAACACATAACTCCTATAGGTACAGTTAAAAGTCGTATTATTTCTCTAATGAATAAATCTGAAAATCATTTTGGAAGAATTATAAACGAGTCATTGACACCGAGTGAGATGAGAAGATTCATACTAGAATATTATAGTTCTTTAAAGAATTCTTTAAATATTAATCTATTGTTTATTTTTATAGCAATAACCTTTGAGGAAAATCTTTTTTTTTTCATATTTCCTAATACTTTAAACAACGCATTTAGTTACCGAATTTTTTAAAAGAATTTATCTAAAAATGACGTAAGATGATAATTAATTTATATTGAATGGGTTTGTTGTTTCCTTTAACACTAGCAACTATTATTTTAGAGTCGTTTCATAGATAGTGAACAATTAAATGAGGCGTAGCGAGATAAACAAGGCGTTTTAATCAAATGAGATGATTCTGGATATGACGATGTAGACTTAAGACTACGT